TGGAGCTGCCCCTTTGCATGGATGCTCCATCCCTCCTCCGTGCTGGCCACACGGAGAGTGAGTGCCTGATGACAACACCCAGCCTTCAGCAGGCGGCCAGTGCCTCCGTAGGTCAGGGGATTGGATGCCATTTTCCCAGAAGTCCATACCACCCTTCACACACGATTCTTGGAAGCCTGCCCCCTCATTTCGCTCCTTACCTGCAGTGTTGAGATGTTGCCTGTGCCATCTCTAACTTCCCCCGCTCCCCCCTCCTGCAAGCTGTTAACAACCACCACACACCACTTCACACCTCACCCTCTTCTTGCCTGAATGTAAACTAAAAAAAAAAAACCCACAAAAAATGTATGAGTTCTCTCTCAAGAAATATCCAATTATTAAAGATCTAGTGCAAGGATAAGTACATGTCTCAGTGCAGAGGAATCAACCACAGAGCATTTTTCAAACACTGGCCGCCTGTGGAGGAGACACCCAGACTCCCGTGCAGAACTCGGGGCACAGCCATCGCCAATCCCTGCGCCTCAGATGCCAGGGGCGGGGATTTAGGGAAGAAGCTCTGGGCTCCTGAAGGCTTCCCTCACCAGGGCCCAGTCCCCTCCACCCCGGGGGACAGGGCAGAGGCCGAAGCTCTCCCACCAGGTTTCTGTGTGTCCTCTGTCCAAGCCTTCCCTGGGAAAGAGCGCCTTGAGGCTGTCAGTTCCCTGTCCCCGGGGGAGAAGACACCTCTCCTGGAAGGGAAGGAAGCTTTGGGGTGCAGGTGGAGAGAGGGGGTGCTGGGGAAAGGAAGGGAGAAGCGGAAGGAAGGAGCTGCTGCTCCAAGGCCAGCCTCCTGCGGGCCCAGGACTCTGCCATGAGGATCTGCTTCCCATCCCACCCCCTCAGCCTCCAGCGGCCATTCTGGGGCCCAGCTGGGTCCCGGGGCCTGGCCTCAGCACTTCAGCACGGAGGAGGGGAGGGCGACCCCAGAGTGCCTCCAGGTCATTCCCTGCCTCTTGCGCTCAGGAAAAAGGACTCAGAGGCTCCAGAACCAGGACCAGGACCCAGTCTCCAGAGACCATTGCTCCTGAGCACCTCCACGGAGGGGCTTCCCAAACCATCCAGGGAGCCACACGCTCGCTTTACACTTCAGGAGAGGGGCCGACGTGCGGTGGTCTGTCCGGGACGCCCAGAAATCACCCCCTTCCCTGAACCCTCAGCCCGTGAGGAACTGCCCCTTTCTCTGCGGCCCAGAGCCGGTGAGTCAGAGCCTGGCCTGGACCATCCCCCCGCCCCGCCCCCGCCCCGGGATGTGCCGGGGAAAGTGGGGCAGGGAATCCCCCAGGAGCCAGGGCCGGTCCCGAGAGCGATCACGGGTCTCCCCCGCCCTCGGAGGGAGAGAGCGCGGGTGACAGCCCGGAGCTGAGTGGGTGGTGTGAGCGGGGCGCGGAAGATCCCGGGGGGCGGGGGAGAAGGGAAGGGGGCCTTTGAAGCCGGGAGGGGCTTTGATCCGGGTCCGCCCCGGCCGGCCAGATGCGCCGGGGGAGGGGCGGGGAGCGACCCGCCCTCGGGCCCTCCTCTCCCCTCCCCTCCCCCCTCCCCGCCCCTCCCCTCCCCGCCCCGCCCCCCGCACCGCGTCCGGGGCACCGAGACCGTTTCCGGCCGCTGCCGGGGCACCCGGTGCCGCCCCCCACCTTGCAGCTGTTGCCCAGCTGCCAGCCGCGCCCCGAAGGCAGCTGGGCGCGGGCGGGCGGGGCAGCTGCTGGGCCCGGCGGGGCGGGAGGCAGCGACATGAAAGGCCGGCCGCGGGGGAGGCTCAGGAAACCCCGGTGCCCCCCCCCGCCCGCGTACATCTGGGCCCCACGACTGGGCCCCTCCCTGCCCGCACCCCAACCCTCACCCCCACCCCCACCCCACCCCCTGGCGGCGGGGTGGGGAGCCGCGCTCCCAACGCCCAGCCTTCCCGGAAGGCTCCTCGGGGGGCGGAGGGCACGGGGTGTGAAAGCCGCGGCTCCGGGTCCTCGGCAGAGGGAGGGCGGGCTGTGCTTTGGGTGCCCCAGGGCCGGAGCGCCCACACCGGTGCGGGCCCGGACCCCCTCTCACCCCCCACCCCCCCACACACACCTTCTCCGCAGGCCGCGTCCTGGCACCTCCGCTCTTCCTGGGCCTCCGCTGCCCCTGCCGCTTTGGGAAGCGGTGACAGCTGCTCCCACAAAGCCGGACAGCTGGGAGGCCGGGACAGCTGGGTGGGGTGAGCTCTGACTCCCTGCACCCCCAGGCCGAACCCCAGGCGGCTGGCGGCTCTGCCTCCGGCCTGCGCGTGTGCTTGTCTGGGCGAGGCTTGCGGAGCTGGGACAGGTGTGGGGGCTCAAGCCCATCCCGGCGCCACCTGAGACTCCTCTTGCCCAAGCTGAGGGATGCACCTGGGGAAAGGGTCCCTCCTGTCTGCCGGAGCAAAAACTGGGCCAAGTGGGAGAGAAACTGGGCAGCTTTCTGCTCCTGGCTTCTGACTCCTGGCACAGAAGATGCCCCCGCGTCCCTGACAACCAGAGAAAGGGCAGTGCGACAGGCACAGATGTGAGTGGAGCTAAACCGCTCTGTGTCCACCACCACCTGCCCCGGGCTTCCTTCCACCCTGGGCTGGAGGGCGCTGCGCTCCGGCCATCTGCCCCTCTCTTTAGCCCCAAGCAGGTGCAGGGGGCGAGAAGGGGCAGGCCAGCTGTTGTCATCCTGCTCCTGGCTCCCTGCCCACGAAGCGAGGGGGAGCACTGAAACAAGGGCCCATCCGCCCCACAGTCATTTTCTACTCCCACCGGACAGGGCAGAGGGACTGGGCAGGACCAGGCTGGTTTGGCCTGGCCAGCCCATGTCCTCCAATCTGGCTCTCCTTTTTTCTGAGAAGAGGGGGAGACTTAGGGGTCTGTGAGGCATGGACCCCTGGCACAGGACTTCTCTACGGCTTGCTCTAAGGCCCTGGTTCTACCCCACAAGCTTCTGTATGGAAGGGTACAGGCTGCTTCACAACTTAAGCAGACTCATGCAGGATTAGGCAACAAACCAGAGATACTTTTTAGAGGTCAGCTCCCCTGCAAAGGAGAAGGGCCTTCGGTGTGCCTCACCCCCTCCTTCCACCCCAGGGGCCCCTGTGGCATGCAGGAGCCTGGACAGTCCCTCATGGCTGCACCCCTGAAACCCCAGGATCTGTCAGAATTCCCGGAGAGTTAAAAGTGCAGATTCCAGTAATCAGACTGAGCCTACGTGGGGATCTAAGATTCAGCCCTTCAGCAAGCTCCCAACACATGCTGGAGACCTGGAGCAGCTCTGCCTCAGGGGACAGAGGGAAGATGTGCTTCTCCTGCTGCTACCCACTTCCATGCCTCCCAGAGCCAAAGACTATCTATCCTGCCCATTCTTCCATGCTCAGGGGCCAGCCTGGAGCCGTGACCCCACCCTCCCAATGGGGGTCTCACTCTGCTTATGCAGCACTTAGCATGTGCTCAATAAACATTGGACTGCCGGGACCGGTTTGGCTCAATGGATAGAGCGTCGGCTTGGGGACTGAAGGGTCCCGGGTTCGATTCCGGTCAAGGGCATGTACCTTGGTTGCGGGCACATCTCCAGTGGGGGGTGTGCGGGAGGCAGCTGATCGATGACTCCCTCTCATTGATGTTTCTATCTCTCTCCCTTCCTCTCTGTACAAAATCAATAAAATATATATATATATATATATATATAAAAATAAACATTGGACTGGAGGTAAACTTTGCAAGACTCATAGAAAGGTTTCTTCCTTGTCTGTCCTAGCTAAGAGCATGTTAGCAGAAACTAAGATGCCAGGTCCTACACAGCAGAGGACTGGGCATGGGAGACCCTTAGCCAATATTTCCCAAATGAACCCAGGGCTGAGGAGATGCAATCAGTGCCTTACGAGTTGCCATTCATGGGCCTGGAACAAGCTAGAGCCAGATGAGAATCCAGGCAAGGAGGGCTGGGCTTCCATTCCTAGTGGGCCCCTCCCCACCTGGTGCCTGGAGACCCCGGCCTGAGGAGTTGGGGGAAGAGGCGAGGCAGGGATGGGACTGCGCCATTGTTTATTAGAACTCGGATTTCGGTGTGTGCTCTAGACAGATTACAGAATACCTGTGCCTTGAGAACAGGAAGTCCACGATTCATACAAAGTGCTCACTACAGGAAGTTGCTGTGTCAAAATCCAGGCCAGGACCCAACTCAGGGCAGCCCCTTTCCCCGCTGACCTCAACAAGGGCTGTGCTATGGTTTTTTACTTAATTATTTCTTTTATTTCTCTTTATTATTAATATTATTATTTGCTTTTGCTGTGGTCACTATTATTGGCAAAGTTCCTTCTTTTTCTTTCCTGGACATGGGGTTCCTGTCTGTAAGATTCCACTCTGAGGCTGAAGGTGCCAAAAGCTGCTTGAGAAGTGTCCTTTGAACTCCGTCTGGGAGGATGGTGAGAAGAAAGAAGCAGGAGAAATCATTCTTGGTTTAAAAAAAAAAAATTAAAAAACAAAAGCCCCACAATCTACAGGTCATTTCTTACTCAGTCAGTGATCAAACTGCCCAAAAGAAAAACAAGAGAAGCAGACCAGTGGGCACTGGTCCTTCCTCCCAGGGCTGGGTGAGGAGGGTGGCCCCACCCCCCAAGGCTTCAGGGAAAGCTGAGGCCCCTTCAGCCGCAGGGGTGAGAGGGAGAAGGCGTGGGAGAACACAGGAGAGACAGAGAGAGAGCTCAGCGCCTTGAGGTAGACGCTTTCCCGACTCCAGGGCCACCTGCGGCCCCAGCCCAGCCCAGCTCCCACTGTCACTCCACGTCCAGAGATTCATAATAATAATAAAAAAAAAAAAAAATCAAAAACAAAGCCCAAAACAAAATCCAAAAGGACAAGACTTAGGGGAAAAAGGGAGGGAGGGAGGACAGGAAGGAAGGACAGGTCTCTGGATGCATAATTCCCGAGCCTCTGGGGGCTGGGGGGAAGACTCCCCAGCGCCGCCGCCCGCTGGCGTTAGCTGGTCACGTAGTGTTTGGTGGAGGGCTGCCCGTACACCCTGTAGAAATCCTGGTGGCCAGGCTGCTGGGAGGCGTCGAGCCAGTCTCTGACGGCCAGGCCGGGGAGGGACTGGGGGACGGAGGGTGCAGGTGGGAGCGGGTGTGAGTATTCCTGCGAGGGCACTGTCCAGGGAAAGTGGCCGGAGCGGGGGTAGGGCTGGTGGCCGCCGTGGCTGGCCACGGAAGAACAGTAACAGTTGTCCACGGAACAGACGAGGATCTTGCGTCCGCCGTACTGGGGGAGCATGGGCTGCTGGGCGGCGGAGCCGTTGGGGTACTGCGACGGGGGGAACACGGGGCTCGAGTGCACCGGCTGGGCGCCTCCTGGCAGGGCCACCAGGTGCTGTGTGGAGCTGCAGGGCCCCAGGGGCTGCCCCGACTGGCCCTCGCCGCTGGCGGTGCCCGCTGCCCCGTACTGGCTGCCCACGGGGCCCGACGACGTCTCTAGGAAGCTGGCCTCGGGGAAGGCCATCGAGTGCTTGCGCTTTTCCGCCCCGGAGCTGCTCACGCCACAGGGGTACAGGGGGACGCTCTGCAGGAAGGGCACCGGCGTGCTGAAGGGGCCTGCGGAGAGTTTGGGACAAAACACGATGACGTTCACGTCCTCCTCACCCCCGGGGACCTTTCTCATCTACAGGACCAAGCACTCCATGTCAGCATCCCCTGGGTTGGTGCTCACTACTCCATTAGCAAGTAGATGCTGTTACTCCCATTTTACAGTTGAAGAAACTGAGGCTCAGGGAGGTACTATGGCTTGGCCAAAGTCCCAGAGCCAGCAGTGGCAAAGCCAGGACATGATGGAAGGTCCACCTAACGAGGCCATGCTGCCTCTCGGAGGGAAGGCTCTGGCACACGCCCCTGCCCGAAGGGCTCTCTCACCTTCTAGCATCTTCCGCAGCTGCTTCTCCTTCTTGGCCACCTCGTTGAGGAAGAGCTTGGAGTTCAGGTGGCCGATCTTAGGGGGGGAGAGGCTGTTGCCCGTGCAGGTCTGGGTCCTGGGGGCAGTGGACGGGGCATCTGCTGTGACGAGGTGTCACCGGTGAGCCCGCCCTACCTCCTCCTGCCCCGTGGGCCTGACCCTCCCAAGATGTGTTCCCCTGAGAGCTAGCAACCACCTGCTCACCTGTCCATCAGGATTTTCACAGACTTGGTGTTCTAGGGAGAGAGAAAAGGTTGTCAGTGGAAAGGCAGCGTGGCAGAGGGGAAGACAAGCACTGCCCTATCTGTCCTTTCCTCCCTCTCCCCGCGCAGGGCAGCCCTTGGCAACAGTGTGGCCGGGAGGTGGTGGGAGAGTGGGGGTGTCTGCTTTTCTAGAAGAAAAGCTAACATTTATTGAGCACTTACTATGTGACAGGCGATATTGCAAGTGTTTCTTCTATATCCATCATTTTATCCACACAACTACCTTAGAAGGAAGGTTTGCAGGCACTCAATCCTCTTATTTGAAATCTTTGGGGCCAGATGTGGAATTATTTGGATTTCAAAAGGGAAATATAGTGCCTGTGCCATATAGTATATGTCATCCCCCAGTAGGCACCACAATTCAATACACCAATGTTTCTGTAGCAAAATGTTTGAATATGTGTACCAGGAGAGATAAATAAAAACCATACATTGCCAACATCACTTCAGGTCAATTTTTGCTGTTAAATGAGTTGCCAGAATTTTTTTCTTTGAGTATGCAGAGATTACTAAAATTTGGAATTGAGGATAAAGGAGAGTAGATCTGTATTATCAACCTCATTCGATAGGTGAGGGAACGGAGGCATAAGGAACGTATAGGACTTGGCTAAGGTCACAAAACCGGAAGGAACAGGGTGGCTCCAGAGCCCTGTGAGCACGCTGGGGGGGAAACTGGTTGGGGAATAAAGAATCGCAGACTTGCTTGTTCGATTCCTGGTCAGGGTACATGCCCGGGTTTCGGGCTTGATCCCCAGTGGGGAGTATGCAGGGGGCAAATAATCAGTGTTTCTATCTCTTTATCCCTCTCCCTCTCTCTAAAATCAATTAAAAACAAAAAAACAAACAAAAACATGTTTTTTTTTTAAAAAAAACAAACGAATGAACATGTTTTTTTAAAAAAGAACTGCAGGCTCCGATTTAGGAATGCCTGGGTCCCGCCCTGCGGCCCGGCCCGGCCCACCTTCATGAAGCTGACGTCCTCCGTCTTGTCGAAGAGCAGCTGCAGGGAGCCCAGCAGCTTCTTGGCCTCCTGCATGCGCTCCCCCAGGTGCAGCGCCTGCGCCGCGTTCTCGCTGCAGAACTTGGCCTGGGCCTTGTCCAGAACCTCCACCGTCTGCCCCAGGTCCTCGTCCAGCAGCTGATGCAGCTTCTCATACTGCAGCCGCACTTCCTCCTTCAGTTGGCTCACCTTCTCCTGCGGGCGCAGGGGGCAGGTGAGCCCTGGAGACCACTGGCTGCCGCGTCTGCCTGTCTTACATCCTGGATGGGAGAGTCTGGGACCCCAAACCCCGAGACTGCCCAGGGTTCCTCAGGGCAAGGTTTGACCTGCTGGTAGCTCAGGGCTCTGTGCCAGCTACCCCTGTAGGGCTCAGCAACTAACAGTTCACGGAATGGCTGTCCAAAGGGTTCTGGCACAGAGCTGACCACACAACAGATCCTAGCCCAAATAAGGACTAGCCCAGGGCCCTGCACCCAAGCAGCCCCCACCCCAAACCATGAAGGCGGGCTTAGCTACCTCCACCAGGCGCTTGTCTGACTCGAGTTTGTACAGCTGGTCCTCAATGTCCTGCTCGCGCTCCTCCAGGCGGTCCTGCTGCTTCATCAGCATCTTCTGCAGGGACAGAGGAGGCAGGGGCGTCAGGGGGCCGCAGCCCCACCCCTTACCAAGGACCGGTGAGCTCCCACTTCCCCTCCATAGATCAGACTCATCCTGACCCAGGTGACCGAAAATTCCTGCCATCCAACCTCTTCTGGCCCTCGTGCAACCCCAGGGGCCTGGTGGGTGACACGGCCTGGCCAGCCTGTTCCCAGGAGAACAAAGCCTGGAGTGGCTTCTCACACACATCTAACCGTGAGCTTTCTGAGGGCAGTGGCAGGCTGGTCTCAGTTCTAAGCACCCCTCCCCCACCCCCGATGAATCTTATCATTCCTGTAATGCTGTGAGATGAGTACTATTATTATCCTCATTTCAGGGAAGAGGAAACCAGAGAGGTTAAGTAATTTACCCAAACTACACAGTTAGTAAGGGGCGGAGCTGAGACACAAACTTAGGTGACCTGGCAGTAAGGTCTGTTCTTTTTATGATTTAATTAATTATTTTTTTTAAAGAATAGTTTATTGGTTTTGAGAGAGGAAGGGAGAGAGAAACACTGATGTGAAAGAGTAACACTGATGGGCTGCCTCCTGTATGCTCCCCACCGGGATCCAGTCCACCACCCAAGCATGTGCCGTGCCCAGGAATAGAACCAGGAATCCAGTGCCTGGCTGACCAACTGAGCCACACCAGCCAGGGCTATTTTTTAAATCCTCACTCGAGTACATGCTTAGAGAGAAGAAAGGAGAAGAAGGGAAGTAGGGAGAGAGGGCACGGAGGGAAGGAGAGAAAGGGGGATTGGGGATCAAACCTACATCCCAGGTATGTGCCCTGACCAGGAATCGAAACAAATCCTGAGGGTATCCTGTCCCCAACACTCAGTGCACATCTGAACTCCCTGCACCCCGCTGACGGTTCTCTCAGTCCACAGGCCTCTTCCCTCCCCTTGTCTGTCCTTCAAGACCCCACTCCTCTAGGATACTTCTCTCGGCCCTGCTCAGAGTGTATGCAGGTCCCTCCCAGTCCTGGCCATGCAAAGGGGCCGTCACATTCTGCCTGCCTCTATAGCTCTGCTGTCCAGTAGGATGGCCACTAACCACATGTGACTATTTAAATTTAATTAAAAGTAAGTGAAATTAAACATCAGTTCTTCAGTTGCACCAGCTTCAGTGTAAGTGCTCAACAGCTGCAGGTAGCTACTGGCAAACGTACTGAATATTAGAGACAAAACAGCCACCAGCCCAGGAAGATCTACAGGAGACATTACTCTGTAATGTTTCGTAAACTGTGGTTTGATCTCCATACAAAACTCAAGGCCCCTCGAAAATAGGGCTTTGCTGCTATCTTTTTTCACCTCACTTCTGAGCCAGGCCCCAGCACCTATAGATGCTTAATATGTTTCTGGACAAACCCATGGGTTTTACACATAAAGTAAGGTCTGCAAAGCCAATGGCAGAGCCCTGCTCACCGTGAGTATACACTCAACAAGGAATGATTCTCTTCCTCCTGTGTGGGCCTCCGAGTGACCCTCAAGCTTGATGCCATGACTCCCACTCCCATCCACACCCAGGTGGCCTCCCAACGGCCTCCAATCCCTTTCCCACTCCCCACCCGTTAGGCCAATCAGTTCAGTGACCCCCTTTTGGGTTGGTTGCTAAACAAAACACCAGGAGGAGGTGGGGGCTAGGCTCTTAGCTAAATGGGGACGCCTGAGGCAGTCTCCCTGAGAAACTTAACCTTCCAATGACCCAGGACAGGACCGCTGAGAACCAGCCCCAAGAGCCCTCGCCCTGCCCCCAGCATCTGCCCTTCCAGCCGGCTCCCCCACCAGCCCAACATGCACAGGGATCTGTGGCCAACCTGGGATCAGCACCTGTTCAGAAACACTGCTGGGTGCGGGGCAGGAATAGAGACAGGTAGTAGTCATGGATCCTCCCCACCTGTGACACAGCCCCCAGTTGTGTGAAGGGGGCAGGCAGCGCCTCAGTGTATGGCCCAGATATAGGCATACAACTGTGTGTGCGCGCACACACACACACACACTGCCTCTGAGCCCTGCGAATACCTCATGCAGAGTGCTGCACCAGGTGCACAGGTACTTGAGTCCAACCCCCTTCCGGGTGAAGGCTGGACTCCTGAAGGCCCCAGACAATGGAGGGAGGGCTGCCATAAAGGCAAGGTGGCCAGAACACCTTCTTAGGGACATATGCCTTTTTACCTTCCCTCAGATTTTTCCTGCTGGAGACCTTGTACCCACACTCAGGAAGGCAGCCCCCTCCCCCATGCATCTCAGACTTCAGGCCACTCTTGCCTTCCCAATGCCCTGGATACCTGAAAGCCCAGGTCTCGTGCCCCACGCCCCCATCACCAAGGACTCCCTGCTCAAACTCACCCTCATCTGACAGGGGAGCACCTGGGGCTGAGTCCCAATGAGGGTGGGAAAGGGCGGCCCAGGTGAGTTCCCAGCTGTTTCCCTCAGAGGACAGGAATGGAGCTGCTCTGCTCCACCCTCCAGACCAGTGGGAAGCCCCTCCCTTACCCCCTGGAAATCCTTTCTGGGAGTTTGTGGGTGACCCCTCAGGCAGAGCCATGGGAGGCACCTCCTGTCCAGTCCTGGGGGCTTAGCCCTTTCTCTCTTCTTCTAGGCGTTTCTCAGAGCCTTTCCTGGCAGCACCTCTACCCTGGGACCTGTAGCATCTTCTCTCAGCTTCACCAGTCCCAGGTCCTGGTTCCCGCCTGCCCACAGCCCTGAGGTGGGAGCCCAGGCCAGCCTGGTAAAGGCAGTGCCACCCTCCCTAGGAGGTGGCTGGGTTTTCCATTTCCCCTCCCCCAGCTCAGACGCTCTTGGGCTCCTGTCTTTGCTGCAGGGGTAGGGGAAGGGGTCCATGCTGGCCAGCTTACCTTTGCAGGGAATGCCCTCCTTGGGGCCAGAAGCTCTTAATCCTGCCATAGGTAACACCTAGGGGAATGCAGGGGTGGGGGACTGCTGCCCCCTCAGGCCCTGGGAAATTGGGAAAAATTGCTGCCCCCTTCATTACCTCTCATCTCCGTTACCCGAAACGCCTAAATCAGGTTGCTGAGAAGCTGGAGAATGGGGAACAGAGGAAGCAAGGCCTGGACCCCTCTCCGCTACCAGCAGCCTCTTTCCATCTCAATCTCCAGGGAATTGCTGAGACCTGAGGCCCCATTGCTCACCTGGGAAAGAGCCACAGCTGAGACCATCCCACCCTGATTCAGAGCAAGGGCTCTCCATGCGGAGTGGAGGGCACTTTATAAACGTCGCCCAGCCCACAGTGAGTCACTGGACTGTGGCACGCCTCAAGTGTGCAGGAGGGGAGTGGAGAGGAGCAAAGTGGAGAACCATGGTCTAGACTAGAAGCACCTGAGGGACCAGGCCACCTCCAGCAGGAGGGACCCCATGAGCCCCAGCCCCGCTCCACAGGTCCTGGTCCAGATGGTCCAGCTCACTCCGGTCTCTGTCCCTGAGGGCCTAAGGCCTTCCATGGTCTGCTCTGAGTCTGTGAGGGCAAAAGCATCAAGAAGGCTTCACAGCACTTCCCATTTCCCCCAGGCCCCAGCACATCCTGCTTCTCACACCTGTCACCTCGTGGTCTAGACTCTGTGCCTTGAGCTGTTCCCTCTGATGCCCTCCCAGCCTGGAGAGGGGGCAACCACAAGCCCCCTTTCCTGCCCTGGAAAAGCCTCGTGTCCCTGTGGAGCCGGACTGGCCGGGCCCAACTGGCATTTTTGGTGTCAGACTGGACTGGGCAGACGGGTGAGGCCATGGGGACTGGAGGCTGTATAAAAGTTAATAAATAATAATAAAACCCGCAAGTCAACCTTGAAGAGAGGCAAGGTCAGGAGGGAACAGGGCCCCAGGGGCTGGGCCAGAAGCAGGCCTGAGGTTTTCAGACAAAGCCCCTGTGGTGAGAGGGTGGGGGCAGAAGGAGGGAGCTAAGCCACTCAGACCCCTGCCCGGAGGACTCTCATGCTGGCTCCAGCTCTGGCCGCACCCCCTGCTCCAGAGCTCCCCTGTCCTGACTCCTCCCCAGCTGCCAAACCTCCTCCCCACTCTCCCACCGAAGACCTCATCCCAGGAAGACGTGAGCCTCCTCGCTCCTGGGCCCCAGCACTCTCCCCTTGTCTCAGAGCGGCGTCTGCCTGCCATAGAAGCCCCCCTTCGTGCCTCAGCTCCTGCCTTGGGCTGCCCTGTGAGTCTCCAGGCGGGGCACCCGCAGCCCCAGAGAGAGGAGGTGGCAGGGCAGAAGCCAGGGCAGGAAGAAAGGCAGCACCTGGGAGGCAGGCCCCGTAGACCCCAGAGAGGGTTTCCCAGCTGCAGAGGCAAATTAGCTTTTGCCATGCAGAGAGCAGTGCTCTGGGGCAGCAGAACAAAGAGGCGAGAGAGAAAGCCCCCCTTTGTCTGGGTTTGAATGCCAGGCCAGCCGGGAAGGCTTTTCCAGAGCCAGGGATGAGGCTGCCTGCTTAATCCAGGGTAGGGGCCCCAATCAGGCTCACCTTCTTCCCATGCCCACCCCGACTGCCCCCAATACAGCATCGCAGGATCCATCCAGGATGCTATAGCCCTGATGCTGTCACGAGCAATAAGCTCATCCCTACGTGAATCCCATCTCCCCCTTCCCTCCCCAATTCCCACCCCACCAGGTGAGAAAAGTCGCACAAGACTCACAACCACCAACCACAGCCCGAGCAGGCCGTCACGCTAGCAGCCATGCACACACACTCAACTTCACCTTGTTCACACACACACACAAAATCACACAATCTTACCCCACATCACACATACATAGACAACTACAGAAATAAGTCAGTCACTCACATCAGACCTTCTCAGAGATACACACACGAGATACAAAAAACTGGTCACATGTGAGAGACACAGCCAGGCATGCTGGCTACACACACCAGCAGACTGACATGGTGCACAGCTAGAGTGCAGGAGGAGAGGAATCAATAGGATGTGCGTGACAGGCGCCCGGCTGTGTCAGCAGTATCCTGGAGAGGAGGTGGGGGTGGGCCACTGTCTGGGGCCCACGGAGCAAGGCCAAGCCAGGCCCCCTTCTGTGTAAACCTCAGGATGGTCACGGAAGGGGCGCTTATGACCCTGGTGCCCTGAACACACACAGCCTCCTCACCCCAGCTTCCACTCTGCCCAGGAGTGTGTATGGTGGGGGAGGAGGCAGCAGTGGGCTCCGCACTGTCCGAGTGGGCTAGACCAGGACACCCTCACTCCCACAGCCTGGCACAGACACATGGAGTGCAATCCTGCCAGCCAGGGGCAATGTGAGAGCCACTCCAACCTGGCCCAAGCAGTGGGATCGCCTCAACTCTAAACCTCCAAGAATGCAAGGAACATTTCCAGCCTTGAGCTGGGATCCTAGGAATGACACAGGCATAACTATGACCTGAAAACACACACACACACACACACACACACACCTTGCATAGCCCCTCACACAAGATAACTAGGGCTTATCTTGAGTCATCTTTCCATGTTGAGGGAGGTCATGAATTAGAGGCACTCACAGCTCATACCAGTACCATGATGCTCACAAGAACCCCTAATTCTAGGGGACAGAAGAGGATTTGAACACACCAAGGCTACCAGACCTGAACCCACCTCAATGTCCTAATCTTGGGCCCTTAGGACGTATTTAGGATCTTGTATGGCCCAGAGAATGGTCTCTGAGGCCCATGCAGTGGGCATCCAGGCTCAGGGTAATGTGGCCTCACGCTGGCTTCCCGAGTGTAGAATGGGGCTGTGGACGTCCCAGGCCTAACTCCGAGACCCCCTGCTAGTCCCCACCACTGAACGGAGGCCCTGCTGCCTTCCCGCTGGGCCCCTGCTCCATGCGCACGTGAGTGCTTTTGAATAAGCACGTAGGGGCCGCCAGGGAGAAGTTGATCAGGGTTTTCTATTTCTAGGCAATAGGGCATTCCAGTAGCCACCCTCTCCCCTCTCCCAGAGGGACAGAAGAAGAAGCACAAGAAGCAGAGCTACATTTTAAGGCCTGTGCTGGGTCCCCATGCTCCTGCTTCTATATCCGGGAGGATTCTGTTGCCCTCACCCATGGTACCAGAGGAGGACCTTTAGGGCTGATTCCCAAAAGAAAAGGCTCCTCCCCCGTTTCCCAGAGAGGATGGAGAATGAAATGGGTTCTTCCATTCGGTTCTCCAACGTTCACTCCCTCCCCCTGGATGGTACCCCCTCCCCCCCTTCCTCCACATTCCCTAAATCCAACTCATACTGAGTGGTGTTGGGCTATTGAAGGCTTTCCAACTCCAGGGCCCTGGGCACCAGAGAGAATCCTGAGGTCCTGGAGGGGGGGATGAAGGGGGGGGGGATGAGACTCAGGAGGGGGGGCACAGATGCTGAGCAAATAGAATTGCACATCTGGCCCTGATGAAACCCACTACTTCCGAGTCCCTGCTCACGCTAGGGACAGGAACTCACACACACACACAGAGGCACTCACGCACACATGCACCCAGCTGCTGACAAAGTTCGGGGCCTGCTCCCATCCAGTTCCTCCCATGAGCTGGGGATCAGGGACCTGCCGGTGGGAACCCCAGGATGCCCTCTGCATGCATGTGCCATCCCTCCCACACCCCAACTACACAACCAGGAGACAGGCGCCTTTGAGGGCAAAGGCACTTGCCAACACACACATCTAGAGGTACCTTCTTACTGCCGAATTAGGTACAATCATGTTTTCTCCCCCACCCAAATGACAGACACCACTGGCACAGACACAGCTGAGAGCAAAACCTTGGGTGGGTGGGGGCACACATACACTCATCACCCTGGTTGCTGCCCCCTCCTCTGTTTTTTAGCCACATTTCAGATTTCCCCCCTCCTCTCACTTTCCCCTGCCAAGCCCAGGACTGAGAACTGGACACCCTTTCTCCTGCCTCTGCCCTTCCCCAGCCTCCTCTCCCAGGCCCTCCCGTCTTCATTAGCAGCAGCAGCTCCCCAATACGGAGGAAAGCCTGGGCTCCGCTGGCCCTGGGGCTCATGTGCCTCCCCTAGGCTCCTGCCTCTTCTAACCCCAGCGGGGAGGGAGTGGAAATGGCTCCTCTCTCCACCCCCCACACTTCCTTTGAGAAACCAGAGGCCCTGTACTGGCACAAAAACCCAGAGCTCACCCATCGGATTGGAAACTAATTATACAGCAAATTTTATTTGTTGTCCCTGCCCTCAGCTTGCGGCGGCCCTCTTGCCTTTTGTTAGTTGTCTGTGTATGTTTTTTAATGGCTAAACACTGACTCATTCTGACTGTCCCTCCAAAGGAAACAGCCCCGTCGACAACCCTCCCCCAGATCCTGCTTCCTCATACCCAAACTCCCCACCGGCCTCAACTAGCCTCCAGGGGCCCCCACCCAGAAACACTCCCAGTCCTCCCAGAGCCCAACCTCACCCCCGGGGCCCCAAGCTTGGGCTTCTGAAAGGGCTCAACCAGGCTCAGGCCAACCCCCTTCCTGGGGGATGACTCAACTCTGAAAGCCGGGGGACCAGGGAGGGACCGAGGAGGAGCCCCCCTCCACAGGAGGGGACGGAAGTATTGCCTCAGTCCAGTTCCAGAGCCTGGCCCGCAGGCCCGAGGGGGAAGGCGGTTTTGACATTGGCCACTGCTGCAGGGTGTATACAATGGGAGGGGATGTGGTTCCGTAATCACTCAGCCGGCAGCCCAGGGGAGCCAGCTGCCTGAAACCAGATTGTAAGGCGGCTCAACCTTAAACCCACAGGATTCTTTTTCCGTCTCCCACTTCCCCTCCCCAAATGTGGGAGGGCTGTGATACAGGGCTGGGCTGGGAGCAAAGGACTCAGGGTGATGAAGGCACATACTTTAAGGTTTGTTCATGCAGGAGCGTTCGAGACACACACACACACTCAGGCACACAGAGGGCTGCGGTTCCCACACATGGAGCCGGCCATCCAGGATAATCCAAACAGTTGGGACACTCCGGACACTGCTGGCTGTCCAGGCCTTGTCCTCACAGACAGGGGAGTTCTGCCCTCCCTCCGGAAGCTCCCCTCCACCCCCCAATGCGTTTCCAGTAGGGCTTGAAACTAACATGGCTGCTTTTGTTTACTTCCTCATTGGTATGCCAACATCATGGATCATGTCAGCCACAGCAGCGGCACCAGGACACTCATTACATAAACAGCAGCTGGAGATGCAGAACCTGGGTCACTGCCTTGGTGACTTCCTGCAGGGCCTACAGAAACAGGGCTGGGGGAGGGGGCTGTGCGGGGAACGGAAAAGCAACACCCAAACTCGGCTCTAACAGCCCCACACTTGAGTTCCACAAATGACTCACGAGAGCACAGGTGCAGAAAGGCCCTCCGTAGCCATGGGGGATCCTTCTTCCCAGAAGCCTGCCCCCAAACTTTCTGAGCGTTAGAGGCTCCGAGAAGGGAGCCTCGGGCCGGAGGTCACAAGAGTCAGCCTGCCTGGGTGGGTGGTCCCAGGCGGTAGGGAGAGAGAGAGAGAGTGTGTGTGTGTGTGTGTGTGTGTGTGCAGGATACTTGCCCGGATCTCATTCCTCCGGATCTCCACGTCGCACACCGAGTGTCCCTGATGCGCCCCGCTGTAGTAGCAGCAGTACTGGCACACGGCCACCTGCTCGGCCTCGCAGTGGTAGAGGCGGTAGGCGTTGTGCTGCGGGCAGCTCCAGGCCCGCACGTCGTCCGCCTCCACCAGGAGGTGCCCGCGGGCGGTGGAGGGCTGCTGCAGGTGCGTCTGCACGTGGGACTGGCAGCAGGGCGCCTCGCAGCGCAGGCAGACCTTCTGCGCGGGCAGCGGGGGGCCGCGGCGGCAGAACACGCAGTGCAGCGCCGCGGGCGGCTTCTCCACGTGCAGGGCGTTGAACTTCTCCACGATGTTGGTGAGCTTCAGGTTCTTCTCCAGGCCCGGCTTCTGGTTGTAGGCCTGGTTGCACTCGGGGCAGCGCACCAGGCCGCTGTCCTTGGCCCACGCCTCGCCGATGCAGCCCCGGCAGAAGTTGTGCTTGCAGGGCAGCTGCACCGGCTCCACGAAGACGTGCAGGCAGATGGGACAGATGAGCTCCTCCTCGAAGCAGTTCTTCCAATTCTCCGCCATGGCGGCTGCGGGCGGGCGGGCGGCCCGGGCAAGACCTTCCCAGCTCCCCAACCCTGGGGGTCCGGCCGGTGCCGCTGTAGGCCCGCCGGGCCCGGAGCTGCGGCCCCGGGAGGCCCGGGCAGTCGCTCAGTCGCCGGCGCCTTCCGCGCGCCGGGCCCCGGGGGGAGCTAGGTCCTCACGGCTCCCGGGCGCCTAGCGGGAGGCGGCGGGCGGCGCCAGGGCCGCGGCCGGGGCACCGGCCCTGAGGGGGGGCGCCGGAGTCCAAATTCCATACAAGAGGCCGCCTCCCCGGCTGCGCAGCTAGGGCAGCCCCGGCCCGCGGCCTGCGCCGGGCCCCGCGGCTGGCATCGGGGCGCGCCCCGCGGCGGACGGAGCCCGGGAACCGCACACTTCCTCCGGCGGCGGCGATGGTGGCTCCCTCCCGGCTCCCCTGCGCCCGGTCCAGGGTCCGAGGGCCGGGGAAGCAAGTGCTGCGGCGCCGCGGACGGCTAGATCCGGGCCCGCGGGCTCCGGGCGCCCCGCGGCTGGCCGTCCGTGCGCGGGCGCGGGCTGCGGGGCGCGGGCGGGCCGGCTCCGGGGCGCTGCGTGCGCGGCGGGGCAGTCATTCAGATGAAATTCCAGTCCCCGGCCAGAGACACCAGCCCGCCTCTGCCTTCCTCCTCCCTCCCTTCACAAATAGAAACGGAAGGGGGAGGGAGAGAAGTGGAAAAAAAAAAAAAAGAACGCCAACCAGAGAGGGAGGGAGGGAGGGAGGGGAGCCCGGCGGCGCTCCGGCCTGACCTCCCCGTCGCCGCGGGTGCGCTCCCCGGGCCCGGCGCCGGCGCCCCCGCCGCGGGGAGACCCGCTCTCCGGCCGCGCGGGGCGGGCGGGCCGGCGGCGCTGCCGGGGGACCGGGATGGATCCAACTAGAAAGGAATTCCTCCAACTGCTAATGAGCCGGAGGCCCGGCTCCCGGCTCCCCTCCCCCTCCGCCGCCCCGGCCTCACCCCGCCCCCCCTTCCCCCCAACACTTTCTTTTCTTCTCGGCCTCCGCTCCGGCCTGGCCGGCTCCGGGCGGCGGCGCGGCCGGGCCGCCTCCCTCAGCGCCCAGCCATCTTGGGCTCCTGCGGCCGCGGCGGGCGGAGCGGGGCCGGGGGCCGGGCGCGCACTCGAGGGTCCTGCAGTTCTCTTTCCTCTCTCTCTCTCTTTCTCCCTCCTCTCTCTCTTTTTTCTCTCTCTCTCCTCTCTCTTAAAGGGGAGAGCTGGCGGCCTCTCTCAAATTAGGAGAGGGGAGAAAATGCCAAGTCCCGATTCCTCTCCACCTCTGCTCCACCCACCCCGGTCCTTTCCAGAAAATAAAAAAAGATGAGAATTGGAAGAAGTCGGCAGAAAGGAGAGCCCCCCCCCCCCCCCCCCCGGCTGCTGCCCTGGCGACGCGTCCGGGGCGGGCCCGCGCCAGGCGCTCGGTCGGCGGGTCCGTCTGTCCGCCCGCAGCTTCTCCGCGGAGGGGAGGGCGCTCCGGCAGGGTCTCCGCTGCCGCTGTCGCTGCCTCAGAGCTTTATCCTCAGATCAGAAAAAAAAAAAAAAGGGGGTGAGGGGGAAGGATGTAAAACCCCAGCGCTCATCACAGCCACCTTCAGCCATCTTGCGCGTATTATTTTGGGAATAATCTGTTTAATAAAAATAGAGCTGTCTCTTGCCCCCTCCCCCGCACTCCGGGCTCCCCGCCCCCCCCTTTTAAATAATAATCTCAATAAAAAATGATCTGCGGGCCGGGCGGTCCGCGGCAGCCTTTTCCTGCCTCGGCTCGCTCGGGCTGCGGCTCTCCTTCCCCCGGGAAGGGGGCGCGGCGGCGGGGGGCCTCGCCCCTGGGGCTCGGGAAGGGGTGCGCCCTGCCGCCCGCCAGCTGGCCTCGGCCTCCGCCGGGAGGGAAGGGCGCCCGGGCTGCGGCCGCGCAGCGGCGAGGAGGGCGGGCGGAGGAGGGGCCCTCGCTCGCGGGACCGGCTGGAGGGGCGCCCAGGGGTCCCGGATCTTCCCACGGCGGCCCGGCCGGGGAGTGTGCGGGCCGGGGGGCGGGGGCGGGGGGTGCGGGTACAATGGGCTCCCCCAGCCGCCGGGCGCAGCGGGCAGGGCGGGGACGCGAGCGGGCAGGGGGCTGCGGGGAGCCGGACTCCGGGGCCGGGGCCGGGGCGGAGAGGCGGAGGGCGGTGTTTCTACCTCACCGCCGGCCCCGCTCCTCGGGAAGGGGCGGAGAGAGGGGAGGGGAGGCGAGGAGAAAGCGGGCGCGGAACCGCGGCGCCTTTAATCAGCGCCCGCCGGTCCGGCCCGCCCGGCGCAGGGGAACTAAATGGACGGGCGAGCGTGGGGCGGGGCCGGGCGTTCTGTCCGGAAGTGCTGCTGCGGCGGCGGAGGCGCCCGGCCCCGCCCCTTTTCCCTGTCTGGAGTCGGAGGACGCTCCAGCTATAGGGCCCGCGGCGGAGGCCCCGCCCCTTTAAGGCCGGGCCAGCCGGAGCTCCTCACGTGACTCGCACTAACTTGGGTTCATTAAACATCGGGTGGGAGGAGCGTTCGGCGCTTCTTAAAAGGGCGATGGTGACCGCCTCTCCGGGGGCTTCTTCGCCCGTCGCTCTTCTTACCTGAGAGGGAAAGGAGGGCCGCTCATTGTCCCACAGTGAACCTTTGCAGTCACCTGCTCATTTCAGTTCCAGCTCTCTGATGGAATGAGCAGGTGACTGCAAAGGTTCACTGTGGGGCAATTTTCCTATGTCCTCATCACTTTAAACCCCCCACTTCTGACACTTAAAACTACTAAGCAAGATTGAATATTAATATCAATAGTTAATATTAATAAAGAAACGGAGGCTTACCCTAACCGGTTTGACTCAGTGGGTAGAGCGTCGGTCTGCGGACTGATTCGATTCCCGTCAAGTGCATGTACCTTGGTTCGATTCCCATCAAGTGCATGTACCTTGATTGTGGGCACATCCCTAGTAGGAGGTCTGCAGGAGGCAGCTGATTGATATTTCCCTCTCATCGATGTTTCTAACTCTCTATCCCTCTCCCTTCCTCTGTGTAAAAAATCAATAAAAATATACATTTTTTAAAAAGAAACAGAGGCTTAAAAAACGGAAGTAATCTACCATAAGTCGATCAGTCAACAAATACTTAACAAAAGCCTTTATGTGCCAGGCATTTTTCTAGGATCCGGGGATTCCTTAGAGAACATGTACAAAAAAATTTTTAATATGTAGGATAATTTCTGTGATAGGAGCTCACACACTGTTCTCCAAAAAAGTGGCATTTGAAAAAAAAAAAAAAGTGGCATTTGAACCAAAATCTGCATGTTTAGGAGTCAAGCAAGTGACATTCTGGGGGAAGAGTGCTTTAGTCAGAGGAAAAACAAATGCAAAAGCAATAGATTAGACATGTACTAGGGCAGAATGGAAGCTGTGTAGTGAGGGAGAAGACAGGTAGGGGCCAGAACACAAAGGCCTTCCTTGTAGATCATGGTAAGGAGTTTGAACTTGAAGCTGGTTGTGAGAAGCTGTCAGATTTGAGATATTTTTGGAAGTAGTGCTAATACGGTAGGACTAGATAAGGCTTAGATATGGGATGGAGGGGAATCAATATATAATACTAATAGAGTAGGAATGGGATCAAGATGTGCTTATCACTATACATAGTATATATCCTTCTGAACTTTAAAAACATTATGTAGTTTATGTGATATATATGTTTATATGTGTGTGTATATACTACCACCAAAATGTTTAAAATTATTCCTAGGATTCCTAGGATTTGGGCCTCCATAGGAGGCTGAATGGTGGTGCCATTTACTGAGAATGAGTGGAAGAGGGTAGTTAGGTTTGGGTGGGGAGATTTTAGTAGCTGTCTAAGTTGACTCAGGTATCCCAGTGGAAATGTTGAGGAAGCAATGGTACACACAGACTCAGGGGGGAGGTTTGTGCTAGAGACTACTATGGATTTCAGAGGCATCAGCTATTACATTCTAAATGGTAGAACAAATTCAAATCCAGTTCAGTATGACCCGCGGGTGCTGATCCTTCCATAAAACCAGAGGGCCTTCCTGCTGCACAATCTCTCTCCTTATTCCTGATGTGAGGGCTAATGTGGTCCCTTCGAGGAGAGTCTGTGTCTTTAGCACTTGGCATCCCCTCACAAGCTGAACAGATGAAAAATGACTGAATGCATGCATGCCTCAATGAACAAAAAAGGAGAAAATGGGTTTCAAGTCCTCATCCTTAATTACATATGCTAAAGGTGGTGTTCCTGGAGCATTGTCCTTACACACCAGGGCTGTAGCCTGGATGCCCAGCTTGTGCAGGAATCAACCAGAGGGTGAATGTATAGGTGGAACACCAAGTCGATGTTTTTCAAATCAATAAAGATAATTTTAAAAAGCAGTAACACAAGGTCTAGGTTGGAGCCAGAGGGTCCTTTTGTGGCCTCCTCAACGATGACCTCCATTGTTATTTATTTAGATAATAAATTTAAAGGATCCCTCTCATTTCTCACCTTTCTAGACTGCTCCCTTGACTTGAAAGACATCATACTCTTCTGGCTTTATTTTTTTTTTTTTTAACCACAGACTTCTCTAATTTCCATCTCATAAATGCTGTTGGTCTTCAGAATCCTGCCCTCCATTTCCTTCTCTTGCTAATCTATATCTGCTTCCTGGGGCATCTCATTTATTCCTATGGCTTTATTACTGTTTACACTGATGGCTCCCCAGGCAGTATCTCCGGCCCAGATTATCAGCCTCCTAGTTGCAGATCCATGTAGTCAACTATGCTCTCCACTCAGATGTCCCACAAGCACCTTGAATTCAATGTATTGGAAATGAAACGTCATCCTTTTCACATTCCAGCCCGTTCCCCTTCCACTGTGATCCCCATTTCAGTCAGTGGACATGTCAGCCACTTAGTTACCAAACTAAGGATTAGGGAAGCAATCTTGACATCTCCCTCTCGTCTCTGTTATCCGTTCAATCAGTCTTCAGTTCCTATAGATCCTACTCTTAAATCTCCAATAATTTATTTGTACACTGGTTACTCACTTAGCGTCTTCGCTTGGAGGTGCAACAAACATCCCAAACTCAACATATCCAAAAACTATCCTAATTTCTGCTCCCCCTAAACCTCTGCCAACTTCAATCTTCTGCTTCTCGGCAAATATCTGATAGCCAACCTTTCAGCAAATCTTGACTACTTCTTAATATCTCTATTACTTTATTATAATCCATGGCATGGATTATTTCAGTAGGTCCTAACTAGTTTCTCTGTTTTTGCCCTTACTTCCTGGAGACAATCTCAACAGAGAAGCCAGAGTCATTTTAAAAAAATACAAGTCAGATTATGTCAATTTTATGCTCAAAATGTTCCAATGGCTTCGCACTTCAACCAGAATAAAAATCAAACTTTTATAATTACCTGCAAGGTCCTCTACAATCTGGTAGGGGGTGGTTCAAAAGTAGAAAGCTTGATGCCTGAAACCATATAGCAATTTGGACTCTACAGTTCCCAAGAAGAGTTTTGGGGCTTTTGCCCTTGTTCTGCCTGCCAGGGAGCTTTTGAAAGTAAAGCCCCTCTTTTGCTCAGTTCATCTACTAAGCGTCCTTCAGGTTTGACTTAAATGTCATTTCTTTTAGGAAGCCTTTTGTTATTTTAAAATATATTTTTAAAAAATATATTTTATTGATTTTTTTACAGAGAGGAAGGGAGAGAGATACAGAGCTAGAAACATCGATGAGAGTCATCGATCAGCTGCCTCTTGCACACCCCCTACTGGGGATATGCCCGCAACCAAGGTACTTGCCCTTGACCGGAATCGAACCCGGGACCCTTCAGTCCCCAAGCCGACGCTCTATCCATTGAGCCAAACCGGTCCTGGCTATTTTAAAATATTTTAAAATTGATTTTAGAAAGGAGAGGGAAAACGAGAAATATCAATGATGAGAATCATCAATTGGCTGCCTCCTACATACCACACACTGGGGATGAGCCCTGAACTTTACCTCCTGGTTCATACTGAGCCACGACGTCTGGGTTCAGGAAGCCTTATAAAATCTCCTTAGATGGCTGAAACCGGTTTGGCTCAGTGGTAGAGCATCGGTCTACGGACTGAAAGGTCCCAGGTTCAATTCCGGTCAGAGGCATGTACGTTGGTTGTCCCCAGTAGGCAAGAGGCAGCTGGTCAATGTTTCTCTCTCATCGATGTTTCTAGCTATCTCTCTCCCTTCCTCTCTGTAAAGAAATCAATAAAATGTATTTTTTTAAAAATTTTAAAAAAATCCATTTTATTGATTTTAAAAAAATCTCCATAGATGGAGCTGAGCACCTTTTCTGTGTGTATACCCTAGCATATCCCTTTAATAAAGGGCTAACCCTAACTGAGCAATTACTATGTGCCAGGCATCTTGTGTGCATAATCTCATATAATCCTTGCAAAAACTCTATGAATCAAGTATCCATTTGCAGATGAAAAAAAAACGAAGGCACAAGTTCGTTAGCCTTAGTCACACCGACAATAATTGGTGATGCTGGGGTAGGACAAAAAGCAGCTTACTCCTTCCTTTCATGGCTCTTCCTTGTAATTGTTTCTCGTCTGTTCTCCCCCACTGCATTATAAACTCCTTAAGGCCAGGCAGGCCTGTGTCGGCCTCCCAGCATGTAGGAGAGTGCCTGTTACAGGTTTGTTGAAAGAACAAGCGAGTGGATATATTTTCTAGTTCCTACCCTTTCCACAGTGGTATTGTAGAGGCTTCCCTGTCTTAGTATAAAGGCTGAGACCCCGAGGGCCCCTTCTCCTTCCTTTCAGGGCTCTCAGTGCTAAGATGGGAGATGGGCTGGCAATGGGTGAAATTGGAAAAACGAAGGAGCAGAGGTGTTTCCCTCAGTTTTCTGACCCCAATAAGACCACTCCTCTCATCACAACTTCAAAGCCTGCCTCAAGTTACTCAGAGAGCTGTGCCACACAACCAGCACCATCTGGCGCTTCCTCCATCCTGCCCTCAGCTCTCTCCACAGGCTTTCAGGCTCTAAGGAAGGAGGGACTGGCCAGTCCCATGCCTCCCATAGGAGGGGCCTGGAGTTGGCCGTCCCTCCCAGATGACACCCTGACCTTCCCCTAGGGACACAGCTGCCCAGCAAATCACTCCCCTCGGGCCTCCCACCTGCTTCCCCTCTGCAGCTGCGGCTGCCTCAGTGCCTGACGGGCTGGGTTGAGTCACTTCAGCATGCATTCTCCTTCTTGTCTGGCCAGTTTGGCAAATCTCTCAGGCTCCCCAGCCCCTGGACCCTGGGGGTGGGGGATAAGAAGCCTTGCCCCCCAGCCAGGTCTTCTTACCCCCACACACCCAGGAGCCCTTCTCTTTCCAGAAACAACCCCAGCCTAGTCCTATCTCTGGAAATCACCTAAGCACAGGATCTTTGGAGCAAGAACCTCTCTGACCCTGGATCCTCTTGGTTAGTCAGATGAGGAGGGTTAGATAAGAACCCCCACCCTGGTCTCCAAGGAGGAAGAGGAAAGGTATGGCCTGGGCCATCTGGGGTAGTTAGCCTGGCTCCAGGTCCCTTGTTCTGACTGCCAGAGGGGCCGAGTGCCCCAGACAGGAACTGCTCCACTGCTCCAGGGACCAGCCACAGCTCCTCCTGGTAAGGTTCCCAGATACGGCTAGCTCTCGCAGGAAACCGGGAAGGGAGCTAACCATACCTTCATAGGTGCCGACACCCTTCCCCCTGCCCTCTTGTGATGCCCTTTGGACCTATGTCACCTGGCCCAGTAGAACCCTGATTGCTATAGCTGCATCTCACCCCAAGCACCAAGAGAAAAGACCCTGCTATTTAGGCCTGGCAGCAAGGGAACGAGTGCATAAGGACACAGAGCCGTGCTGCAGGGCCCGGGAGCTGTCTCCATGCAGATCGCCTGTCTGTAAGTTCCCAGGCAGTTGCTCTCTCTCCCCTGGACACTGAACTGTTTTCCCACACTGGCCCTGGAGAGACAGGAGCTGGACAATCCAGGGAAGGAAGAGCCACCCCCTCCTCACCCAGACCAGGCCCAGAGAGGCTGAGAGGAAGGGTGGGCGGGCCTCAGTGTCACCCAATGGGTGTGCTGGTTCTGAGGCTGCTCCTCCATCCTGCCCCAGGCTCTGGATTCGGAGGTGGAATTTAGCAGTCTAGTGAGGGAGTGGCTGTCTCTTGGCCCAGCTGACGTGGAAGCAAGGACTCCAAACTGGAGGTGAGGAGAACGGAGGGGAAAGGGTTTTGTTGAGAGGAAGAGAGAAGAGGAATGAAGTCTACCTACCCATTCATCTCCCCAGACTGTGTCCATCCATGCCCCTTCCCTCTTGACCTGAGAGGAATTCAAAACCAGTAAAAGAGAGACTGTCCCAGCAGAGTCATTTCTGCATGACTGAAGAGTCACCAGCTGCATGATCCTGTTCCTTGCCACCCTCCCCCCACGCACATTCTCCCAGCAACAGTTTTTAGGACCTTTCCCCACTCCAGCTTCTTCTTTTCTTTTTCATGTTGAGAGTACGTTTATTAAAGCCAGGGACAGTGAAACGAGGAAGGACTTAAGACAGAAGCGCAACAGGACAGACCTAGGCGGGACTGCTTTGGCTCACTGAGAAGTCAGAGAAAAGACAGCCTAGGAGGCAAATTCAGGGGTTAGCCCGGGACAAGCTGCCCTGCCCACTGCACCCCTGGTTGCAAGTCTTGTGGGGTCCCTTAAAGCTTTGGAGATTTGTGCCAAAGAGGGGAGGCGGGGTGGGGGGGGAGAGGGGAACAGGGATGGCAAAGTGGGGGGGGGGGGAAGTGCGTGTGTAACCCCAGCTTCTAAAAGGCCGAGTCCAATACACCCCCTCTGCCGGGGCCCTGGGCTTCCCGCACCCCGACTCCAGACAGCCAGAAAGGAGCACAAGACCCGGCACTTCTGCAAACCTGTTTAATGCACTTAGATTACACAGAGGAAGAGGGGCACAAAGGAAACAACATCTAAGTGAGGCAGCCACATTCTTACAAAAGTTCCTGGCTGGCTGCAGCCCCTAGGAACCGAGTCGCCAATGACATTGAAACTAATGAAAATTTTACAAAAGTCTGCTTATTGCAGCATTCAGGTACTTATACAAAAGGAGGGCTCTCTCTATAGGGCTCCTGACTTATTATAGGGACCCAGGTACCTCACCTGGCACGGAGGACCTGGAAGCTAGAGAGGAAACACAATCCAATAAAAAAATAGTCAAGGGATTTTCTACTGGTCTGCCCCATAGGGGCACCAACTTTCAGCTTTTTTCCTGCTCCTCAACTCAATCTCAAAACCCAGGCCCAAGACCCTGTGTTTATTTTTAAAACGTTCTAGCCCTTTTAGACTCTCCCCAAGGCTTCCCAGTCCCAGCGCTGGAGCCTGGCCTCTGGAACAGGAAGAGGACAGGAAAGTGCCAGTTCCCTGGCCAGATCCGAGAGCTTGCATGAGCCTCTCCACCCCCTCCAAGTGGCAGCTGGGTCTGTGGTCCTCTTACATCCCATACTGGACCCGAGGAGCCACAGAAGTCTGCCTTGTGTAGCAGGCAAACAGCACGGGGTGCCCCTTCTTAGCACCAGGGATGGGAGGGTGGGGTAGGGTCAGGCAAATCTCAGGGAAGCTAGTGGAAGAGGCAGATGAAAGAGGGAAGCTTCTTACCTCTCCACTCACTATGAGGTCAGGGCTCAGAAGGGCTGCAGGGAGGGAAAGAAGGGATATATTTGGTGAGCACCCACCACGTTCCAGGCGCTGTGCTAAGCACAGTGCGTGGTCAGCTTTGCTTGTCCCCTCACCAGGCAGCTTCATGGAGTACCCCTGGGAAGGCATGGTCACACAGGGAAAGGAGGGCTGGTCAGAGACAGCGGGTGCCCTGCCACTGCCCCAGAGCCACTGCCCTGTAGGAAAAGGAAATGGAGGCCTGGCCCCAGCATGACCTTGGAGGTTCCCAACATGAGGCAGGCAGGGGCCACAGGCTGCAGGGGCTCATAGCTCACTTACTGCCTCCCATACTGATGACAAAGCTTATAAAATAGCCCCTCCCCGTCGCCAAACCAGGCAGGTGGAGGCGGGGTTCCAGAAAGAGAACCGGTGGAGAGCAGGTCAGGTGGCAGGAGAGGAGGAAAGGCGATGGCACCTCTTTGGCCAGGAGGCATCAGAAGACAAGAGCTTCAAAGGCAGAGATGCTGTGGCAGACGGAGGCGGGGAAACGTCCTTTTGAAAAGTTCTGAGAAGGCACAGCTGCTGCCAGCATCAGGTCCAGAGGTTGCACCTTGGCTGCTGGAAGCCTGGAGTCCCTCTCCCCCAATCCTCCAGAGGCTGGTCTGCCTTGACGCTCTGAGTTTGATGGGATTAACCAGGTAGCCCACAGGGTGTGTGCAGAGAAGGGGCCAGGCCCCTTGGAAGTCCAACTGCTGCTCCCTGGAGAGACGGTCACTGTTTTCATGGCTCCCGGAGGCAGCTCTCCCATCAGGGGGTTGCTGGGCCCGATGGCCTCCTGGTGTGCACGGTGGTGTTGGTCGGGCAGAGCATCGTCCTATGTGATCCCTGACAGACAAAATGGCTTTGCTTTGGACAGGCCTGGAGGATGATCTTGAAATAACAGTCCTTGGAGTTGGGGGTAAAAGGGCATGAACGGGGCTTGCTGATTCCAGGACAGAAGTGGGAGATCATCGAAGAGGGACCCCAAAGTCACAGGCCAGAAATAGATTGGCTTCTGGGAGGAAGACCATGAGAACTGCAGTATTGGGGCAAGGGACCAAGGCCCAGAGAGGCCCAGGGCAGGACAGGAATGGGGAGTGAGAGATGAGAAATGGATGGATGCAAGGAGGGCAGAAGAGCGGCAGAATGCAGTGTTTGCAAAATCAAAGTGAAAGACCTTGAGAGGTTAATACGCCAGAGCCCTGCAGCCTGGAGGCTGGGAGGCCAGGGGATGAGGAAATGGGGCGGGAGTGGTCAAAGAGCTGCAGACCCAGGCCCTGAGTGGCAGGTGGGGATGATCTGGGGGTGCTGGCCTCACCCTCTCCCAGGCAAGCCTGGAAGATGAGGCTGAGGCTACCCAGCATCTGAGATCCTGATGGTCCTCTAATGGGAAGCAGCAGCACTCCTTCTTGGCCAGCTAAAGTGGGCTCAAGGCTTCATGGGGGAGTCTCAGCTCTCCCCTGCCGCAGGCTCCAGCAGGCCCACCGGGGAGAAAAGCCTCTCTCTGAAGCTGGCTGCTCTGGGCCCTGGGCAGGCAGGTGACCACCATACCTTCTCTGGTGGCGGCTCAGGGGGAGATAGCCCCGGGCCCTTGTCTGAGAGAATGCGAAAGTTCATCTGGCAATAAAGTTCTGTTTAAAAGACATTATATACACAGCTTCTGGACATCTCTGAAGAGCAATAAAATACCATCGGTTTCTACAAAATAAAATAGAGGAAGAAAACCAAACACGATCAGAGGAATTGTTCGGTGGCAAGAGGAGCTTGACTACTAAAGGCTCCCAGGCTGAGCTGGGCAGTGAACCCTGAGGGCCACCCCACCTCCTTCCCGCTGGGCGCTCGGCTGGGCGCTCAGGAGGTGGCCTGAGACCGAGGGGCACATTGAAGGTCCAGAGTCGCTTCTCAAACCAGCGGCAGCAGGAAAGGAAGGTTTGCATTTGCCCGCTCAGTACCCAGTGGGATCAGGGCCTGGTCGTGTGGGCTTGGCACCGTAGGTGAGGTGGAGGTCAGCTGCCCATGCCTGGCATCCCGCCGGGCTGAAGGTGCTCCTGTAGGTGCTCCGTCATCCTCACGTTTGTCCTTTCATTGGTGGGACTCGCTTACTCCGGAAGTCACCGGGGAGCAGCGGGGTCTCCTGGCCCCTGCAGGGCCCAGCCCAGGCTAGTGCAATGGGCTATCGAAGACCACGTCAGGCAGGATGGAGACCTTCAGCTTCTTCTCAGGCCAGCTGTACTCTCTGGGGAGTTTGAACTGTGGAGGGAGCAAGCAGAGAGCCAGAGTGCACATGTTAGCAGAACCCGTGGCCTGCTCTCCAGATTGCCTAGAGTGGCTGGGACTCTCACCCAGACCTGTCCCAGGGTGCCTGGACATGACAGGCCACACTGGTTGCCTGGTTTCAATCTCAAATGCCAGACCCAGGTGGGTGGCTGAGGCCAAGCTGCTGGAGCTTGTGACCCCTTCCTCCCCTATCCTGGCCGGGCCAATCATTAACCCCAGCTTGGGGGAGGCATGTTTTCTAACTCTTTCTTGACTGTGCTGACCTCCCTCCAGATCACTTCCTTGGTTCTGCCTCTGGCCACAAGCATGTAAGGAATCTGTTCCCTGAGGCCCTGGGGCTGGAGAATGGGGAGCAGGGGGAGGGTACAGATGCTACAGGGAAATGGTTTGAGGTCTAAAACTGGAAACCTGTCCCTGCGGTGGCTTCCCTTTTGAAGCTGGTGCAGAAGGACAGGGAAACCTGCCCTCTGTAGCTTTTGCCAAAGGGACCAAGGGAAGGAGGCTCCGACTTGGCCTGGGAGGGAGCAGAGGTGCAGGATGGCTGGAGGTGGTTTCTGGGTCGGTCATCCTCCAGAAGAGCAAACCCCCACCCTGCGCCCCCTGCTCATCCTCATCTGCCCCCCCCGCAAGAATCACTGATTTGCTTATAGTTTTGTTTCAGAGCTTCCGGTGGGGTAGAGAAAAGACACATCTTATTCCCTCCATATTCTAGGCCCCTGAATGTGATCTGGCACACAGCTAGTGCTCAATAGATGTGCACTGACTGGGAAACAGGGTCCACCTTTCAGGACGCTCACTGTCCTGGGCCAGGAGAGAGGTAAGGCCAGCTGGACAGGAGGAAGAGCAGGCCCTCAGCCTGTCTAGAGCTGGGGCTGGAAGCGAACCATGATATTTCCTGGCTTGTCCCTCTGATGGGGGACTAAATGAAGAGTGGGACAAGGGATGGGGACAGCCTCCGGACAGGAAAGAAGGAAAAAAAAAAAAAAAGTCATTTTTAGTGACCTACTTTCCTAAGCTTCCCCTGGCTCCTGGCCCTCCTGCCTGGACTGCCCCCCTCCCACCCCCTCAACATCCAAGCACAGAGCAGCAGCTGGCACAGCGCCATCCAGTGCTACATGCCTCTCCGGAAGCCTTCTGGCAGCTGGCTCTGGTCTGTGTGAATGGGAGCTGGGCCTCAGGGACCAGTGGCTTGTGGGGGCTGATTGGCTGGCACAGACTGGGTGCTTGGTGACTTTTGAATGTATAAATGAGTTAATTTATCAAGCTGTATCCCAGAGGAGAGAGGAGACACTGTCCTATGAGGGGTGACCTCAGGCTCTCAGAAGTTCCTGTCCACGTGGAGCCCGGACAGGACAGGCCCGCCCTGTGCACTCTTCCCGCACCCCGGGAGGCTGGAGGCCACCTGTCCTGTGTCGCCCAGGAGTCCTGCAGCTGGGAGCTCCTGGCGGAAAGCTAGCTCCCGCCTGGCCTCTCCTTGGCTGGAAAGCTTGGACCCTGGGAAGTGAAGGAGCTCTCCCCCAAACACACTTCCGGGCAGAAAAGGCAAGGGAAGGGCCTGTCTCTCCACAGGCCGGGGAGGGCCCAGAAGAACTCTCCAGAGGCCAAGGCCAGCTTGCTAATGTTCTACTAACCTATCGGCATCAAGGCCAGGAAGGCTCAGATCCCACTGGGGTGCTGCTTAGTAGGAGGCCAGGGGAGGCGAAGGGACTTTCCAGGATGAGGTAAGTCCCTGCAAATGAGGATGCCGGGAACAAGGAAGAAAAACAAAGGGCTTTATGGGCTCCAGGCCTGTACCCCCGAGGAGCAGCCAAGGAAAGCACAAGCGCCCACCTGGCCTGCCAGCTCCTCAGGCTCTGGGCTAGGGTTAGAGGAGGCGGACCAAGAGGGGAGAGCCTCTGGCTGGGGAAAGGAGTGAGGAGGGTGGCTCCTGGGTGGCCTGAGGCGAGAGCAGGAGTCCCTTGCTGCCCACCAGAACTCCCCAGCGGAATGTTCTCTGGCAGCAGGCATGAGCTTTCTGTTCAGAACCTGCCAGGAAACAGCAGGGGCCGGGGAGCACACGCACTAGCCTGCAGGCCCTGGCTGCCCTTCAATGCGGTTCTCAGGAGCAGGCAATGCAGTGTGCGGGTGTCCTTACGAGGGCTGGGTGGTGGGAAGACAGAGAGAACGCTGTTTAACGTCTCCAGAGTCTCCTTCCAGCCTATCCCGACACCTGAGAGCGCGAGAGGAGGGAGGGATGGAGGAAGAGAGAAAGAGAAACGCTCCTGGAGACCTAAGTCCTCTGTCAGAGGGAATCAAATAGGCTTACTTCCTCTGGCGAAGTCAAATCTTCTAAGTCCTCCAACATTTTCTCTACAAACTCTTCCGTCAATAGAATCTGGAAAGAAAGCACAAGACTTTTATGTTTTCAATAAATGGTCTTTTTGCCAAATGTGGACCGTCTCCTGGCCATGGAGAAGATATGAGCCCCTGCGGTGATCTGTTCTAGGGACAGAGGGAAGTGCTGGAGGCCTATTCTGATGGTTACCCCCCTCCCCACACCCCTCCTCGTCCTACCATCCCCCCCCCCCCCATACCTACCTGCAATATCAGAGGAACTAGGATTAAGAAGGGAGGGCATCAGAGGACAATAGGGAAGCATGGTGGGGCCATCTGGAGGGGCAGCAGGGCTGGTCCCAGAAGGGATATGGGAAATGGGTGGGCAAATGCCAGTTTTGGCAGTTGGGGCCTCCTGCAGGTTTCAGTGCAATAGAGGGGAACAAAGCCGAGGGGCAGAGAAGAGTGATTGCCAACATCCTTGCCCAACCAGGTCACATGTTCCCCTCGCCCTCACTTGGTAGGACAAAAGGAATCTGTTTGGATTTGGAATACAAGCCGGTCTGGAATCTGGAAATGCCCCGGAAGGTGCATCCAAGAATGTGCTGGAGAATGTGGAACCTGTGCACCAATCTCTTGTTTTATAAATGGGTAAAGAGACTCTCAACTCCCACTACCACCTGTGTATCCACGTTCTCTCAGGCCGGAAGCTCCCAAACTCCGTCCTGCAGCCCATTCAGCCCGAGTTCCTCAAAACCTCCTTGGAGAAACCTCTTTTCCAGTTCGCCTCCCAGCTGTCCCACTTTGCTGCTCCAGTCGGCCGCCTTGTCACGTTATACATTGATGTCTAAGACAGCCCACTAGTCAGCTGGCACAACCACCGCCCTCACCCTCTAAAGAAGTTTCACACCCACGGGGATGTCCAAGGACACTCAGGCCTTTCTCAGCCCGATGGGCAATTTCCCAGCCGCTCCTCTGCTCAGGCTGGCTCTAGAGCCAGGCCAGGCCCACCCCAGGCCTGACCACCCCAGGCCCAGGCTGAGGATGTCTTCCTCTTGCCAAGCTCCTCCCTGTGCTTGTCTGTGGGGCCTCCCGCACCAGACACCTCCCACCACCAGGTTGTGGCTCTCCCTGCTGCTACTTTGCCTCCTCCGGCACACTTTGAATGACCTGGTGTGGCCAGAGGAAGAAAAACAATGGGCAAAGACCAAGGTGAAGGATTCCTCTGAGGGAAAACCCTCTATGAGAAGGATGGGGATGAAGAAGTTGAGAAAATACCCATCAGATTTCCCCTGGGAATTGTACACTCTGATAAGAGCAGAAATTCCAACATTTAGAATATAGTCAGGTTGAACCGAAACCGATTTGGCTCAGTGGATAGAGCGTTGGCTTGCGGACTGAAAGGACCCAGGTTCGATTCTGGTCAAGGGCATGTACCTGGGTTGCAGGGGTAGGGGGTGTGCAAGAGGCAGCTGATTGATGATTCTCACTCATCGATGTTTCTAAACTCTCTATCCCTCTCTCTTCCTCTGTAAAAAAATCAATAAAAAAAAAAAAAAATATATATATATATATATATATAAAATATAGTCAGGTTGGGATATGAAGTGAAATGACAGGAAAAGCAGCAGGGTCACTAGGACCTTCCAGGATAGAGGGAGGAAGTTGATGGGATACAGATAGGAACAAGGAATGAGCGAAACTATCCCAAGTGAATACACCAGCCACCACCCCAGGCATCCTGCAAATGCTCACAGCCTTATCCCCTCCGTCTCCTTACAGATGAGGAACCCGAGGCACAGATAGGTTATGTCATCTGCCCAACACCTCACAGCTTGCGAGTGGCTGAGACAAGACCACATCGCAGTCATTCCTGGACTTTGAAGTTAGTTGGTGCCTGAAGTACTGCCTCATTTCAAGTCCTGAACTCTTACCCACATGATGTTTATGCTTTTGCTCATTCTTCCACTCATCTGCCCAACAATCTACATGATTCCACAGCATTCCCTGGGTGCCTCTGCTAGGCCCAGCCTGGGGTGGAGCCCCAGGGACATAGGAATAAAGTCAGTTCATTCACCATCTGGACACCCCCCATCCTTGTTGACAGGGAGCCAAAGGGTATCTCCATTTCAGGCCATAAGCCCACAGTCAGGAACCAAACAGCTCCGACCACCGGCCTCCGTCTCCTCACTCAAGTTTCTGTTTGGGGAGCTTGGGCCTCAAGTGAGGGCAGAGACAAGGTTCAGACAGGCAAAGCTGATCTAGGGAACGCCCCACTGAGGGCTGCGGTGCCCCTCCCGCTCTGTTCGTCCTCCCAGTTCCACATAGTGGGACTGGCTGACTTCCTCTCACGGACTACAGTTCCCAATCCCACGGATCCTCCCACTGGGGTTTTGCTCCTTGCTCCTCCTCCTATTATCCCATGGGTTCTCCCCCCTACCCCCCCTTACTTCTCCCCCACCGCCAAGTCCGGAGTTTCTCTACCAGTTATCACCAGTCTGCCTGAGTAGTACAAAAGTCACATTCATATTTTTGGCATTTCCGGGACTTGTTGCCATCTCTTCAAATGCTAGTACAAACATAAGCATACCTAAAACCCAGTTATATTACAATGGCTCCAGTCTGGGGCAGGCTGGGCTGATTTCTAACCCACAAATAACTTGGAGGGAGACTACTTTTCTGCCAGAGAGGTAATGAGTTCTGGGGTGAGATGAGGTGGGGGAAGGCTCACAGGGACTGTGCCCACCCGGTGTGACTCCAAAGAGCTGTTTTACAGCAATGGAAGAGAGAACCCCACCAACGCTGAGTTCAGCGCTAAGCCAGTTCCTCTGACAAAGGCCTGGAATTGGTGGTGGAGAGGGTGGGTTATGGGGGCTTTTAGTAGAACAACTACCAAGGGTGTAGGGTACCATCTGTCTGCGGACTCATTCTGTACTCAGCTGGGAGAGGGGATGGCAGGACCAAAAAAAGGGGACCAACCCTAATTGCTGGTTAATTTTCACTTCTGATGATTTGCTGGTTCCTGCTGGAAACTTCAAATTATTTTAAAGAAACTAAACGGGGTAAAATTATACATGAGATCTGCATGATATTAAGGGTGACATTCCCTGCAAAGGAACACGACAGACTGTCATAGCTCCAGGCACCTAATTTAATTTCCTTTGGGAGTTAAACCTTAGACGCTTGAATTCAACAAAGACCCCGTTCTTTGTATATTTCAGACCTGGAGCTGAGAATGTTAACAGATCTTATCAACAGGACACTGGAGATAGACAGCTATGATGGAGCACTCTCACTAGTAACAGACTCCCCGTTGTGATACAACTGTGGGAAAAGCCTGTGCGATTCTGGGGTTTGGGGTTCTTGAAGCTCATTGGGTCCCTATGGAGTTGCCTGGCTCTGCCACAAATAATAACGGGAACGGTGATGACAATGACAACACCACCAATTGCAGGAGCAATGCCTCCTCTGTGTGCCAGGCACTGGGCTTAGTGCTTGACCTGTACTGTTTCACCGAATCTTTATGGCAGTCCTGCAAGGGAGAAAACTATCATTTCCATTGTGTAGACAAGCAGGACAAGAGTCTTCTGGACTTTAAAGGAACAGTGAGCTGCCCTGGATGGTGCTGCCAATGGTTACAGCGTCAGCCAGCGTACCAAAGGGCTGCAGGTTCAATACCCAGTCAAGGGCATGTACTTGGGTTGCAGATTTGATCCCAGCCTGATCGGGACATATGCAGGAGGCAACCAATCGATGTGTCTTTCTCACATCCGTATTTCTTTTTCTTTCTCTCTCTCTCTCTCCTTCCCTTCTACTCTCGCTAAAAAAAACAAAAAACAAAAAAAACAAAAAACAAAAACAAAAACAAAAATAAAAATAAAAAAACAACCATGGGTGAGGATTAACATAAAAGAAGAGTGATCTGGTGATCTGGTCCTGGGTAGATCAGTTGGTTAGAGCATCATCCTGATATACCAAGGTGTGGGATTGGTCCCAGGTCAGGGCACATACAAGAAGCAACGAATAAATGCATAAATAAATGGAACAATAAATTAATGTTTTTCTCTCTCTCACCTCCCTTCTCTCTCTCTCTCTCTCTCTCTCTCTCTCTCTCTCTCTCTCTCTCTCATCAATTTTTAAAAAAAGGGAATAGTAATCTGACCTCATGATAGTAGAGGCACTTTTTCTATCTGGGGAAGGCACCCTGATTCTAGAAACCTTATGTAATTAGTGCCAACACTACTCTCTCCTTTGGGGAGATGAAGATGACTTTGGCTTGACCAATGGCCTGGAAAATCAACAATCCTAACCCCAACTAGCCACATAACTTCTGGCTAGTTGCTCAGCTCAAAAGGGATGGCACCCTGAGGGTCATAGACATACCTGCTCAAAAACCAGGTTGGACATGTCCAGCTGGGGTGGCTCGATGGCTGAGTGTTGACCTATGAACCAAGAGGTCACTGATTTGATTTCTGGTCAGGGCACATGCCTGGTTGAGGGCTTGATTCCTGGTAGGGGGTCTGCAGGAGGCAACCAATCCATGTTTCTATCTCTCTAAACCTCTCATTCTCTGTAAAAACCAATAAAAACATTAAAAAACAAAACAAAACAAAAACCAATAGCCTAAGTTGGCCAATTGGAAAGGCAAGAAAACCCATGCCCAAAGATGGTTTTCAAGTGGGACAGCAGGAAAAATTTCCAGGCTAGCTAGAGAATGCATACATAAGGCAACAGTTACTCTGGTCCAGAAAACAGCAGTATAAATAATAATGATGATGATGATAATGAACATTTTAATAGCATTCACTGATGTCTAAACTCACAAAATGCTGGGCAAACAGCCCCCGGAGGGAAGAGACACTCTGCTGCGAGGGGAAGGCCCCCAACCAACCTCCCTTGGGAAATTTTTGAAAATATGAAGACTAAGCCCCATCCAGACCTCCGGAACCAGAATATCCTGGGCAAGGCCAAGGCATGTGCATTTTAAAAGGCGCTCCAGGAAATCATGGCAGGTGTGTGTGTGTGAAACACTCGGGTTCACAGGGGAACGGAGTTTGGGCACAGGCTTAACCAGCAGGGGTGAGTTGGTGGCTGTAGCTCCTTGCCCCCATCACACCCCACCTTTAATCAGGGAGGGGGCTTGGAATCTAGGCCAGTAACTTAGTCTAAGTTACTCACACAGGTACCTTGGGGCAGCCTGGCTGGTGGTGATGAGGGAGGGTTGTCAACAGCTGCCCAATTTCCCAGGCCCCAGCAAGTCCCAAAAGGAACTCAGAAAGGGACTGTTTGTCAGTGCCTGTCCCGGGCAGGTCTGGCTATGCTACCGGCAGAAACCCAGATGCTGCAGGTCTGATTCAAATGTCTGTGGTCAATGATATTTCTGAGTCTGCAAATAGTGCTGACAATGCCCACTCCTTCCCCCTGGTACGACAATCCACACTTTGTCTGGGGCCTTGTTTGCATTTCGTGTTGACACGTTGTTCTTGCTTTCCAACAAGTTTGGATTCTTTCTCTCTCTCTTCCTTCTCTGAGGGAAGGAAATTGTTGTTTACAGGGCAGGGCCAAGCCAAAGAGCTGCTCTGGCACCCATGATGGCAGTGAAGGAGGCGGGGATGAGGAAGCGGTCCAGTCTGTGTCCCCCTCACTCCAACCTACAACCACAGCCTGAAACAGCCTAGAACACCACACACACACACACACACACACACACACACACACACACCCGCTCGCTCAGGGGCAGCGTGTGTGGCAGGTAGGCCTCACCCATTTCCCTTTCTCAGTGGGTGGTGAGGAGCTGGCTTTGGTGGGGAGGAGGTGGCTCTGACTCCTCCTGCTCTGGCTGTTTTTTGGCTGGTGAGGCCCCGTGGGCCATCCACTCACCTCCTGAAAGGGAGGGTAGTATATTTCCCCAGCGGTGCTGGGATCTAAACCCTAATGGGTGTACCCATGGACAATGAGGTCACCACGACAGCCTGAGCAAAGGCTTCCAGGGAGAACAGGCTGTGGCCAGGCTCACCAGTGGAAGGGGAAACTGGAGGCACTGAAGAGGAGCTGCCCAGGGCCTGGGCCAGGGATTACCAAGTGTCTTTCACACACGTCCAAGTGGGTGGGTAGGGAGGGGAGAGGGCAGGGACTTTTCCTGAGGACAGTGATGAGTCAGAGGAGGACAGCCCAGCAGTGAGTCCCTAAACCTGGCCTGCAGGGAGCAGCCACTCAGAGCAGCTGCAGGGTTTCTTCTCCCAAGCCTGGGACCTCCCATCAGGGCTGGGAGGCAATGGCTGGGAATGGGAGCACCACCTGGGTGAGCTGTCAGACACCGCACAGCTGAGAAAGCATTGCAGGGCTTAAAAAAATATTCTCATATTTGGTTATGTGACCCCTACATAACCTCTGGGGCAGACTTCCTCCCCTTCAGATCATCCTGGCTGGGGATGGATGAATGACTTAGCTCTGGGCCGGGCTCCTGCTCACAGCACTAACAGCATGGTGATGACAGACTCAAGGGAGAGGGCTTGTTCAAGCCACCAAGACCAAGAATTCTGGGGGAAGGCAGGCAGGAGAGGATGCTGGCAGGCCTCTGCCCAGGTCTGAAGACCTGCCTGCCCAGCTCCAGAGTTAGCCAATAGGCTTTACCATCTCGATGAGGGTGAAAACAGCAGGATGGGAGGGCCGAGGGAGTCAAGGTGTCCACGTCTGGAAATGGAGAAGCCTAGGAATTGGAGCAGGATTCTACCTCTCCAGCTCCTCCAGGAAGCCAGGCTCATCCCGTGCTCACCCTGGGGTTGCCATGACCCTGCCTTTCTGTGCTGCTGGGGCCTGACGTTCGTGGGGCTGGAGAGACGGGGAGAAAAGCAGCATGGAGAACAGGTGCAGGCCCAGATTCCCTCACTTTCTGCCTTTTTCTCTCAGCCTCTCCTTTGTCACTCTCCTCCCATGTGGGGTGTCTTTGCCATGCCTTTCCCCCAAGAGATAACAGGTCTGGGCTGATAGCCAGAACAAGGTGCCAAGGCTGGAAATGAAGGCTCCCAAGACTGTTGAAGGCTGATGCAAGAAGTCATCCAGCCCCTCCCAATTCAGCGGGGACCAACAGGAAGGTTCAAGTAGCAGCCAAGAAAAAAGTCTGGGTCTCTTGCCCTTACTGGTGACAAGCCTAATCCCAGGCCCCGAGGAGGTCCTGCAGACTCCCAGGGAGACAACCAGCCTCAGAGGGAGACCTTCAGGCCCACAAGTAATTACAGGCCCAGGTTCCCACAAGCTAGGGAGCTGCCTATGACCACTGTAGCAAGACCCTAAAGGAAGCAGGCTGGCAGTCAGATGCAGAAAATGCTGACTGCTTGGATGGGGAAGAGGGCTGCTGTGGGTGTTGGTTCTATGGTGAGGACCAGCTGGGGGCAGGGCAGAAGGTTTCCCAGGACTTTCTGGAAAGGGTCTGAGAAACCCCTTGGTAAGTGAGGGTGTGTGCTTGGAGAGTGAGGCCCTAGCCAGCTTTCCTGGGAGCTCCCCTGTGAGTTGGCCCCTGTGGTGGACCACACTAATGAGCCCATAACACAGGCCTTTGATTAAGCAGCTCCCAGCACAGCAACTTTATTGAAACATGCTGAAGCCAGCGGCTGGTTCCCACTGCTCCCGGTTCCCCAGGCAACAGTGAATGGGAGGGGACATGTGCATGGGAGTAGCAGAGCCCTAGTACTGAAGCTCACTGAGGGGCTGCAGGCCAGGCGAGGGAAGCGGAAGGGGACTGAAATGCCAGAGCTGGGGATAGGAGGCTTGGGAACTAGAGTTGGATCCAGAACTTTAGGGGAACTGATGGGCAACGTGGCATCTGCTCAGTCCTTGGGAGTTCAAGGTCCCTCGGCTTGTAAGAATTGGAGATGCTGACCACCCCCTCCTCAGGACAAGAAGATGTTCCTGGGGGAAGTGGGACTCCAACAACAGGTTCGGAATTGAGGATGTAAACTGTATCGGGGTGGGAGGGTTTTTTTTTTTTTTGAGTTCTGGGAGGCCTCAGGCTCTACTTTTGAACCTCCAATATACATTAATGTTATCTGTCAGCACTCGGTCATCTACTGGGGATGATGCCCTGTGAACTCTCAGGGGTTGGGGTCTCCTGTATGGTCTCCACCTTCCCCCTCTTGACTGGCTCTGCCCAGGCAAGAGGCCTGCTCCTACCTGCTGTCCACAGAGGCAGCCTGGGGCCTGGGCCACCGCTGGGGGTGGGGTGTGGAGGCCTTTTCCACTTGTACTAAGCTCATTTCAAATGTTATACTTCAGAGCTTTTGCTACAGTAACTATCAACACCACATGGACAGAAATCTAATGTTACCAAGAGGGACTTTTAAAATGTATTTATAACTTTATGGTTCAAAGTAATTTTGTTATGAAACAATGTAATAACAACAGTGGAAAAAGGCAAGATAATTTATGGAGCACAATATCCCTACAGCACCAGCCTCCACTTCTACCTTGGCTGAGTCTGGGGAGTGTGGTTGGTGTCCCTTGTCTGCTGTTTGTTTTAATTAAGGGTTAGTATTTTGGGGGAGGGGGAAAGAGTGCCGGCCTAAAGGAGGAGAAATTCAGCTGCAAGATAACACACACATGCCGACAAAAAGCATGCCCACATTAACAGTGTAGTATATGCTTCACAGACCCTCCCCATCCCACCCCCGACCATGTTAAACCCACACAACTCTCTTCTCCTCTCCTGTAATCTCACCCCCACCCACAAACAGGCAGGTCACCTTTTGGATTAGGGTCAGAGTCCCTTTCTTGATATTCCGGAGAGAGGTAAGGCAGAGTGTCCCTCTTCCCACACCCCAACAAACAAACAACAAACAAGGATGTTGTTCCTTTAGCACAGTGGTCAGCAAACTCATTAGTCCACAGAGTCAAATATCAACAGTATAACAACTGAAATTTCTTTTGAGAGACAAATTTTTTTAACGTAAACTTCTTCTAACACCACTTCTTCAAAACAGACTCGCCCAGGCCGTGGTATTTTGTGGAAGAGCCACACTCAAGGGGCCAAAGAGCCGCATGTGCTCGTGAGCCGCAGTTTGCCCACCACGGGTCTAGTACACCTGGACCGGACCAAGTACCTATGAGGCCTGAAACAGGTGGGGTCGGGAAGGGGGCCTGTAGCTGTCAGCCCAGCACCCCGTCTGGCAGTGGCGCTGAAGCTGTGCTCCAGCCAGAAGAGCAGAGGAGAACCAAGTGCTCTGGACAAGCCAGCAGGTTTCTGTGCAGAGAAGCTGGTCGCCAATCGGGGGAATGGGAGAGCCACTGGCTGAGGGGGGGAGAGGCTCTGCCTGCCGCGGCCTGCCCATCCCAGCTCCGGGTCCACATGCCCATTTCCTAGGAATTCTGGTGGGATTCCACAGGCACTCGAGAGTGGCCCTCATTCTACTTCACCCTTGGTTTCCCAGGGTGCAGAGCACACCCCTAAAACCTGGATTTCCATGGCAAACAGAACTACCAATGGCCAGGGCCCAGAGAGTTATCACTCGTGTCTCAGGGGAGAGGGGAGAGGCCAGGAAGGGCTCTGGAGCTGACGGGACAGGCAGCAGCAGCCACACTCCACAGGGCTTCTCAGACCCAGCCCTCAGGAAGGGAGCCACCGAGAGCTGCCAAGCGAGGAGAGGGAGCGGACGGGAGCTGGAAGAGCCCAGGGAAAGGAGGTGGGGAGAAGAAAGAGAGCCTTCTCACTTGTAACCAGGGTCCATGAGCTGCGTAAGGGTGCTCCTCAGTGGCAAAGGCACCTTCCACTCCCGTGGAGACGAACGTGATGGCCATGTCACCTGTGATACTTTTATATGTAAAGTGCCGTCCATGCAGGAGCCTGCCCCTGGGGGTGGGAACAGGAAGACAGTGAGCAGCAGGCCTGGCCGAGGCTCAGGGATTGGGGGCTCTGCTCCCTGGGACAGGATGCCTGGCACATGCCCTCCTGAAGGCCCACCAGTCCAGGGGGACTGTAACCACACATGTTCATCTCAACACCTTCCAAGAGAAGCCTCTCACAATTTCTCTCATGGCGTTCTTCCAAAGCGCTCAAAGCTAGCAGAGACACTTGAGCAGCATTCAGAGGGCCTCGGGGGAAGTCAAGTCCGCCTCCTTCATGTCCTGGTGAGGCCAGAGAGGTCAGTTAGCAGTGCACCCTGGGTCATGCCCAGAGCTGAGGTGGGGTAGGTCATGGCCCCTTTGTTTAGAGGATGGGGGTGAAGTAGTTCCTAATTTCCCACGCTCCTGGATGATGGTGGAGTGCCTTCAGAGCACAAGCCCTATGCCCAGAATCTCCCACCAGCTTGCCCCTCCCATCAGATTTAAATGACTAGCCCCCTCATCTAGGGGAAATGATGAATAACAGACTGATGAACAAGAACAGCATCGATCAGACTGTCGGACCTCAGAGGGAAGGTAGGGGAGGGTGGGGATAAGGGAGAGAGATCAACCAAAGGACTTGTGTGCATGCATATGAACCTAACCAGTGGTCATGGACAACAGGGGAGTGGGGGTATGTGTGGGGAGGGGTCTAGGATGGGAATAGGGGGGGGATGATGACAAATATGTGATACCTTAATCAATAAAGTAATTTAAAAAATAAATAAATGACTAGCCCCAAAGGGAGAAGCCCATTTTTAATGTGAAAGGAAGAAAGAAAGAAAGAAAGAAAGAAAGAGAAAGAGAGAGAAAGAGAGAGAAAGAGAGAGAAAGAGAGAGAGAAAGCTGAAGCCAAGTGGGGTCACTCTGAGGGAGCACAAGAAGTCACTGTTAATCCCCAGTCTGGAAATACATCTGGGGGAGGGGCAGGCAGGAGCAACCAGTGGGGCAAAGATGCCAGTCAGCAAAGGAAGCAAAGCTGCTCTTTGCTTTCTCAGGCTGCCCCAGATTAACCCTTTACTAATCGAAAGGCCCTGAGCCTGGCTGAGAGGAAGCTGGGGAGGAAATGCCTGGGGTCCTAGCTGTGTGTGTGTGTGGGGGGGGGGCCCTGCCAGCCGCCATTGGTCCTGACGACTATCTCTGCACTGCTAACCAGGGTGGCTGGCCCAGCCTGTCACCACCCAAGCTCCTTCCCCAGGCTCCAGGGACAGTGTGGAGGGTCCAAACCAGTGCAGATCTGGTTCTAAGCCTGCATCTTTGGCCGACACACTATATAAACTTTGTTTATGTCATAATGACTTGTTCTTCCCTATGATGGCAGCAGGAGCTTTTGGGGCTCCTTCTTCCACTGTCCTTCTTCCTTGCTACTGATGTTTCGAATTATCCCTGCAATGAACTGAGGGTGGAACCCCAGAAAGCTGTGGAGGAAGCCAGCTGCAACAGATTCAGCCCAGTGCAGGATCCCCACGCAGAGAGCTGAACTCTGGACACGGGCTGGGTTTCTGGCACTGTGGACAGTAACAGAAGGGACACAGCTGGGCTTCCTGGCCCCTCGAGGAGTCTGCTGGACTGGTCACTGGGTTTGAAGAGCTGCGTGTTTTACATGGGAAAAGCAGCAAGCAGGAGGAAGCAGAGTCCAATCCACCAGAGCCCTGCCCTACTATGCCAGTGCTCTGGGGACCCTGCCACCCCTAACTCTGGGTTTGGGAGAGGGCAGGGGCATCTGAGATGCCCTATGTCACTGAGCCCCTCCTAAGGGAACAGGTTGAGGGACACCTCTCTGGACAAAGGAGAGATCTTCAGCACAGTGGGGGCTACTGGATGGTTCGGAGTCCACAGGCTCCCGACAGGCTTCCATGGAGCTGCCTGACTAGTGCTCCTCCCTGGTCCCAGACTCCAGGGAGGTGTGGGGGGAGGGAGGGAAGATGGCAAGCACAGGCACGGTGGCTCCTTGAGGCCGAGTTGGGTGCTGTGAGGCTCTCACCTTAGGCAGAGAGGGATGAGGGCTCCTGACTCCTGGTTGAATTTCAGATGTACGCTCTCGAGTTGCCGTGTGCGGATCAGCTCGTGGGGGATAATGGCTGTGGAGCTGTCGCTTTCCAGGCTGTCTTTGCGGCTCCTGTGAAGCAAGCACAGGCACAGGCTCTGACCACAGGGCAGAACAAGATGGGAGTCTTCCAGGCTGGAATCCTGAACAACGACAATGGCAGTGATTGATGGTAATGATAACAACAGCCACCACTCCATAAGAACCTGCCCAGCCAAGATTTAGAAGCAGCCAAAGCCTCCATCAGTAGGTGAGTGGATAAAAAAGCTGTGGCTCATTTATATAACGGAGTACTAGTCTGCTGAAAAAAGGAAAAAATGTTACCCTTTTGCAACGGCAGGGATGGATCTGGAGAACATTATGCTAAATGAAATAAGCCAGTCAGAGAAAGACAAGTACCATATGATTTCACTCATGTGGAAGTTAATGAACAAAAGAACTACCAAGTAAAACAGAGACAGACTCAGAGAGAGCAGGCAGACAGCTCTGGGTGGGGAGGGAGTGCTGGGGGTTGATGAAGGGATTGAGCAAAAAAGGGAACAAAAAGAATGAGAACTCATGGACATGGACAACAGTGTGGTGACTGCAGGTGGTGGGGGGCAGGTGGAGATAGAAGAGGATATGGAAGGGATAAATGGTGATGGATAAAATATAAAAATTTTTTAATTAAAAAAAGAACTTGCTAAACAACCTTACAGCACCCCATAAGGTGGGCAGAACTGTTCTATCCCTTTACAGATAAGGAACTGAGGATCAGGGAGGGTAAGTGACTTGTCCAGGTTGCACAGCCAGGGAGTGTGAAGCTGGGATGTGGTCGCAGACAGATCTGGTTCTGAAGCTCACATCTCTGGCCAACACGCTGTATAAATGTTTATGTCACGGTGACTTGTTTTTCCCTATGACGACAGCAGAAGCTTCTGGGGTTCTTCTTCTCTGACCCTGGAGCCTCAGACTCTGTTCTCTGTGGTTACTAGAAACCCAGGAGACAGGCTCCAAGAGCTTCCTTCCAGCTGCTCTGAAAAGGCTCTAGGCTTACATACTTCTGCTGATGGCCAGAAGCTGCAGTGACATACACATCCTTCGTCTAAGCAGGAAATGATGCAGTCCTCGGCGAGGGGTGGAAGCCAGGCTCTCAGGAGGCAGACCGTGAGCCTGGATGGGCTGCAGAGCCCTGTACAGACTCTGACTGTGGCCTTGGCTACAGTGAGCTGTCACTGCTGCCTCATACTCCCTCCTACCAACAGCTTGTCCCACAGCTAAGTCACGGGGTCCCGTTGCAATCTAAGATTTGCTTTTTCAAGTTCAGCTGCCCCTACTGAAACGCCTCAAATCTGCCTCAGCCAGGAATGAGGGTTACCCACTGATCCCATTCAAAAGGCCGGATCCTGGTTTGGGCAGTGACTCTCAGAACAATCCCCCAGTGTCCATCAAAATACTGGGTGAGAAGCTCTAGTTATTTATAATTCAAGTGGCCAAAGCCACCCAGGATGTCTGGGCCTGACAGGCGGAGAGCCAGTGAGGGGCAGGGCCAACCTCCTCACATACTGGAAGGCTGAGCGCTGGGGTCTGCGGCCAGTGAGGCAGAGGACCTCCCCAGAGGGAGGTGTGAGGTCAGCAGGCAAAAGGCTGATGGGCGACATAGGCTTATAAAAGCCCCTGAGGTAATGGGGACCCCCCACGAGCTGGGTGGACCCACCCCTGGATGTATGTGACTGCTCTTTCACCAAGCACTCCCTCCCCTTGGTTTCCCAAAGCCAATTCTGAAACTGCCCTTTGCTCTCGCTTCTCCTTTGACAAACCCTTTCACAAGACCTAAGGGGACAAATGCTCTGGCCAGAGGGTCACAGAATTTCAGCACTGGAAGGAAACTCAGGTTGTTTCATGTCCCTCTTTCCTTTACAAAATAGAGCCAGGACACAAGCTGGTCTGCAGCAGGCCAGTGTGGGAGCCTAGGACCTCTGACCAGCGCTTTCCCTTATGTCCAGCTGCTAGGCCTCCTGCCTCCCTCCCCAGAAAGGAGAGCAACACTAAACACGGCCTCCTTCCCAGGCCCAGACAAGGGTGGGACTCAGCAGAGCTCTCCTGTCCAGAGCCCCTCCTCTGCTCCCGAGTCAGGAGCCCATAGATTTTCTGTGTCCTTGCATCAAACACCCCAGGTAGATTCTAGGCTAACCCTACTTTTACAGATGAGGAAACTGAGGCTCAGAGAGGTGAGGTGATAAGTCCAAGGTCACAGAGTGAGTTTAAGTGCAAGAGGCAGGGCATGGCTCTTACACTTGCTTCCCTGTGCCATCTCTGACTGCCCTGGTGCACACTGACATATTATCGTGCTCCCTCCGGAAAGAGGCTGAGGCCTGGCTGCCAGGCAGGGCCCCAGAGCCTGCAGGGCCTGCTAGGAGGATCCGGGCCTCTCTGGCACAGGCAAAAATGCTGATGAATAGCAACTGGGAGTGGGGGTGGGAGGCTGGGAGAGAAGAATCAACAGCACACAGGACTAGAGACATCTCAAGCTGGAGGGAAAAATAAATTGTTGAAAGTCAGCTAAAGTCACCTTGGTAACTGCTACAACACACTCACCCTGAACGAGGACATCAAACCCAACTGCAAACAGCTTTAAAGAAATGGAAAAGAACTTAATCATCTGAAGAATTAATGTGACAAGTGCCCACATTTACACCTCCCACCAACCTTCAATCATTTGAAATCGTACTTTAATCTTTGAAGAGAAAAAAAAATCGCAGAGTGCTGGATGTGCAGTCCTGCAGCTCGGGTATTTCCGGCATGCTGCTTCAATGGAAATGCGGCTGCTCCACACTCACGCAGGAGCCCAGCTTTTTGCTGATTTGTTTTTTCTGGACATCGATTCAGAAGCATGAATTATTTGTGTGGGCTGGGTGAGGTATTAAATCTGCAGCCGACACAGGTTTGCAATGTTTTGCATGGTTGTCAGCTTAATCTTAGTCATAAAAAAATAAGTAGTGTGCTCGCCAGCGTGGCCTAATTTTTCAGCGGAGCTGTTTTCTCCTGGAGCTCCCAGTGGAGGGGAAGGCAGAGGTTAGGGGCTGGGAGGGAGAAGGGCTCCCAGGGAGGCATGGCCCACACCCTCTAGCACTGCTGGGCTATGGAGCCAGGGGTGAAGGATGACAGAATGGCTAAAAGCATTGGTTCAGGCAAATGACTTAAACCTCTCCCTAAGCTTCCGTATCCTCTTGATGGAAATAAATAACGATACTCCTTCTTTATAGGATTAAATGAGATGACCCAAGCTAAGCACCTAACAGTGTCTGGGATGTATTAGGCGCTCAAAATATATCTGGAATGCATTACCAGGATGTTAGTGGCTGCCTCTAGAAGTCTATCTGCTCCTCCTGCAAGAAGCTGACAGCTTAATACAGACTGTTTGCCTTTTCCCTGGACCCATATTCCATCTGCTTCTGGCCAAGTCGGCCCCCCTTTCTGAGCAAAGGCCTTGCCCTGAGCTTGAGAGAGGGGGCTTCTGAGATGGGGCTGGAAAGGGGTCCTGGCTCCCTGAACAGACACTGCAGGCCCTGGGAAGGCCCAGCGACAGGCCAATGAAAACCCTTGAGGCCTCCCTCCTGCATCGGCCTTCCTGTAGTTCTCACCCACTCATTGTCAAGATGCCCAGGAAGTTTAATCCACCCTCATGACAGCCTTTCAAATCCCGAAAGCCGCTCTCACTGCCCATTAACAATTTCTCTTTTCCAGAATTTGTGGCCCCAACTTCCAATTATATTTTAAAGACAAGGTTCTGGTATCTTCCTTCTATCCACATCTCTCTCCTATGAATTCACTCTAGCGCATAAAGCCAGAGTGTCGTGTCCAGAAGTGAAAGGTTGTGTGTGGAAATAAATATACAATGAGGCCTAACCAGGGCAGATTACAGAGGGACTATGAGCTTTCTTGTGCAGGATATTTTATTTCTCTTATAACTGTCATCAAATTGACTATTCCTTGTAACCTTATCGCACTGCCAACTCATACTGCACTCCCCTGTGCTGCACTGAGACCTCTTCACCCCCATCTTGTGGGTCCTGTGGAGTTTTTGGGACTAAGAGCAGAACTCCGCACTATCTGGCTAGTGTTTTAAGCAGCTCGGATATTCCTGAAAACTGACTCTGGCATTCATCATATCAGCTCTCCCTTCTGACTTCACATCACTGACAAAGCTGATAAACTGCCATCAATGTTCTCATCCCAGGCTTTGACTAACAGTGAACAGGACAGGGCCAGGCAAACAGGCTGACAGACTGACATCAGTACCCTTGGGTATGCTCACTCAACCAACTATAAACCAACCCAACCGTCCCACCACCAAGCCCCTCCCTATCCTGGATGCTCTGTGGACATTTCTCTGTCTTGCCAACAATGATAGCAGAGGACATTCTCAAAATGTCTTACTAAACCCCACCTATAAAAGCTCCACAGTACTTTCCTTGTCTACCAGGTAGAAATAAGTAACTTATTTCTAAAAAGGCATTGAAGATGGCCTGGCAGGTCTGACCGTTCATGAGCCCCTGCTGACTCTCGGGGCTGTTTCCCTTACAGAGTGTTCACAGCCTACTTGTTGAATAATGTGGTCCAGAATTTTCCCGAGTTGACACCAACCTCACTTGTCTAGAGAGTCAAGATACTTTTTGCTTTCAGTATGCCCATACCTCTCTCCCATCCCCTCAAAGATTTCTGACTTCAGCCTCCTGAATTTCATCTGCCAATTTGCCTGGGATTCTGGGGCACAATACATGTGGACCAGGAGATTTGAAATCATGGCTTTGATCCTCCTATGCCTGTGTGATCACCTTCCTGATCTGACAACCATTCTTTCTGAAATGGAAGCATAAGAGAACTTGAGTAAATTTTGCCTCCTTTCTGCCACTGATTAACTTTACTCCGCCCAAAAAGGAGTAGGTTTTCCTTCTTGCTGTTGTTCCAAACAGAAGTACAAAAACTGAAGTCATTTTTGCTGGTCAAAACATTTTTGCAAGACTCAGTTCTTAAATATCAGCTTTTCTTGACCCTGTTCCTTAAAGTCTGTGTTGCTATAACATACTTCT